AGTAATTCTCCCATGAATGGCTTAACTACAGAAATGTATAATTTATTAGGACTGAAGTAAATCACAGAGTTTGAAGTGTTTTAGTCACTGGTAGAAAAGATTTTTAGTCAAAATATTACAACTAAAGAAATAAATAGGTCTATGTGAGTCCTAACTGCCAGATGTCAGAAGCAGAGCTGTTGACAGCTCTGTAACAACAGGCTCGTGCTTTTAGCAGTTAACAATAGAAATATTTTCTAAAACCTGACAGAATCGATTGTATTTTTAGGAAGAACTCCCATTGTGAAACAAGTGCTATATTAGCAGTCAGAATGTTACAGTCAAGCCTCCTTTGTCTCAGTGATTTCTTTAACGGTGTCATACAGGACAAATTTTGCCCACAAAATTTACCAAGAATAGGGGATCAATCAGGAACGTACTTGAGCATGAAGACCTGAGTTTGGATTCCTGGTACACTCCTTAAAGGCCCTACCTATAATCCCAGTACCAGGGAGGTGAAGGAAAAAGGATCCTTGGGGCTTGTTGGTAGAGAAATCGCTGAGCTCCATTGTGGATGAAAGATCCTGTCTTGAAAAGTGAGATGGGTGTAGCAGAGGAAGACACCTGCCATCAAAAATGGTGGAACAAAACAATGCCTGCCATCTACCTCTGGCAGCCACATGCACATACACATACATGCACTCACAAATACATGTGCACACACAAACAACACATACACAACAGACACACACCAACACTTCTGAAGAAAAAATGCTTTTCATTGGACCAATAAGGTCATGCCTAGTTTCCTCAAGTACTGTCAAGGACTGAAAGTCTTCTCTCCCTCAAAGCGGATTTCATCTTTTCTGTTTTTCTTTCAGTTGACAATTATACCATAAAAATCACTACTCAATAAATACTGTTTAGTGAGTAGAGAATAGTAAAAATCCTCAAGGATTTAAAATACTACTAAAATAAAGAAGCTGAGCATATAAAAGGCAAATAATTATAAACAGAACCATGATATGACTTGGTTTCACTCAGATTGCATTTTTTAAAATAGGGCATAAACATAACTATAAATGAACAATGCTATTCTCAGCACTTTCTGTCCAGAAAATTCCGTATACTATATGAAAACAACAATAAAGCATGTCAACTTATTTGTGTACAACATGATTTTCTAAATGCTAAGGTTAAGAGAAGGCACCAGAAATATTGAAAAACACAATGAAGCTACACGGAAATACTGTGAGATTATCATAACTCAGTTTGCCACAGGAAAAATATTAAGATAAGAGTGAAAATAAAATAAACAGGTTATGATATAGCCAAATTATTGCAAAATATATCAAATTGGCTGGGGGTACATTGCAAAGGTCATAGAAAGTGATTACTTTAAACTGTTTCTCCATGAATTAGCATGAATAAACACTGCTTTCCCTAGTTTCAAATATGCTATCTAAAAGTGTGGTGGTGTTCCCTGGGGAAGCTTGGTTCAGTCTGAGGCATATGAGACAAGAGCCAAGATGACAATATTTGTCAGACAGTAATAAAGATCAGTGACATCCCATAGACTTGCAGCATCCCACTGTGTTCGAAGCAGCAGAGTGCAAAGGTCAAAGCCATGAGCTCTGGAGACAGACCTGTGTTCAAATCCTACTCCTTGTGACCTCAGGGAAGCTTCTTATCCCTTTCCCAAGCTGAATTTTCAAGATTAAACAAAGTGTTCCACATCTCCCCCTAGTTGTGAGCATAGAGAGTCTGCCCTAAATCACAGTTTACATTCAAAACTAGTCATCCAAAAAGTTTTAAAGTAGCCAAAAATATTGGTGTGGTACCATGGAAGCATAAGGAAGTGTGGTCTGATTGCCTATGCAATCTGATTGGCATGTGGACAAGAGGTTTAGAAGCATGAGTATGCAAGAAGCTTGCAACGCCATTAGTGCTAATTATTCTACCAATGGACCCTATTCACCAAGTATACTCTGTGCATGAACTGAAATGTCACCTTCACCTTCCCTCATAATCCTGAAGAATACTACCTGATAATAGTTTTAATAGGCCAAAGAATTCAAGTGAGAAACAGAAAATACTTAGATGTTAGAAATGAGAAAAAAAAACCAGAAAGCAATTATTTTTAATATATCAGTTTATCTATTGTAATTCTTATAGACGTAAAAGCATCTGTTTAAAATCTCATTGCACAATGTCAGAATGTGTGTAATTTCATCACATATAAAAACTCACTGATGGCTAGGATAAACTCTAAATTAAGTACAAAATTAAATTCAAAGAAAAATAATTTATTATTTATCAGATTTAAACATAGTTGTGTCAAGTAGCTCTCATATGTACATACATATACATGTTATATATGTAAATAATCTTTGCAGTGACTTCAACTACTTAGTAGCAGTGCCAAGTACTCAGGAAAAGGGGTGCAAACAAAAGGGCAGCAATCTCTGAAAGTTCCTTACAAGGTGCTTACTTGGGGGCATGGGAGAGCAGGTTTGTTTTGGCTCACAAAAGAGCCTGCTTTTAAAACCTAAGAGTAAAAAGTACCCTTCAGGTGACAGCACCAAGAAGCTTATTCAACTCCTTTTACCTTCTAGGCTGAAGATTAGCTTTGGACCCAGAGTTTCTTTCAAGCAAAATAAATACATCATTTAGTATTTAAAATGGTATTGATGTCACAGTGAGAAGGTATTTAGAGAAGCAATTCATCCTGTAACCCAAGAAGCTCGTTTTTCAAACTACAACTGCAGAGTCCAACAGGAGTCCAGACATAAGGTTTTTTCTTCTATTACAGAAGCAGGTATGCTCTGCACACAGTAAGTACCGTCTTGTGAACTTCTGTTTGATGTGCACTAAGAGCAGCTTACATCAGAGGACATGTGTCTAGGCTGCTGTGAAGGTGGCCACTGTTCCAACCCTAATTGTTGCCCATTGGAGCCCCCTGCAGGCTCTAACCGTTAACAACCGAATCCCAAGGCAAGTAATGCTAGATGGAGGGTAGGTAGTGCAGGAATTGGAACTTAACTTTAATCAGAAATACATGTTTACAGATGGACAGCATGTGGTCTATGAACTCAAATAGCGTATGGGCAGCCTTATTCCTCCTTGAGGAAGAACTAACAGCAGCATCCAGATTAGCCCTTGCTATTTTAATGAAAACTGAAATGTATCTGCATCTCCCAACAGTGGTTTGGGAGTGAATGAAGTCACAATGTACTTTATGAGATATTAGCAAGGCTAAAACTGATTTTAAAAACTGAGTAAAACACACCCAAACAGGATTGGACATAAACATAAAAGCAATGTTTGTATCTTAGACAACTTCCATGACAAAATGCAGGAATGGTTTGGTTAACTCAAGGCTGACTGCTTAGCAGCTAAGAGGCCCCATGGCAGATGTTCCTGTGAAACAACAACTCTTGGTTATATTAATTTAGCAGAGGTGAAAGCGATTTGTAACATATATAATTGCAGTGTTAGTGTGAGCCAATGATGGTTAGCTCCTAAAGTTAGAAAATATAATATGTGCAAGTCTGACCTGAAATTAATGTGGTCCAATGTGTTCTACTCTAAACTAACCTGGACACACATACCAGGTTCTCATCTACTATAGCTAAAGTCTGACTAGGTCATATCTGGGGCACATAATCTTTTTTTTTTTTTTTTTTTTTTTTTGCCTTAGTATAATTTACATCAGAATCAGGAAAAAAAATTCAACAAATCCAATAATTTCTGCTAATCAGAGCTCCATTTTAGCAAAAATGGTATTATCTTGGACACAGTTCAGAATGCCTACCCCCAACAAAGTTCCAGAAACAATCAATATACATAGGATCATCTATGATCTATTCAAAACAAATGTTGACAGCCAACTCCTTTGCCAGTCAAATTATATAGACACTCATCTATTTTTCTTTTTTAATGATGAGAATAGAATCGACCATTTTTCAGTATTTTCTTGGCGATGGGGGGGGGGAGGAATGACTTCTTAGAGAAGGCATAGTCACTTGGAGGGATATTTTATTATATCAACTTAAAAATTAACAGGTGTCTAAGTAACCTGCATCCTGTCCTCTTGCTCAGCACGGAATCCTGGTGCTGCCTTTTCCTGTTCATCCAGAAAAATCTTCATGTTTAGCACTTATGTGTCTGTAATCCCTTTTCTGAAGGCCCCTTTCCTTCTTCTGTTCTGAATATCCTTCCTACTGTTGGTAGGCATACTGAATATCTATAGCACTAAAAGAAATGCCTTTGTTAAATTGTTTGTGCTTTGTATCTGAGATAGAAACTAATTCACAACCCAAAAACATGGTTCTGAAATTGATAGCTCGGTAGTAAGAGTATTCATTGGCTGCTCGTCCATAAGATCCTCAGTACCCACATGGCAGCTAAAAATCACCCTCTACTTCCAGGATCTCCAATATCCTCTTCTGACCTCTGTAGGCAATAAAACATCTTTCTCCTTTCTAAAAAAGATTTATTTATTATGTATAGTGTTCTGCCTCCATGCCAGAAGAGGGCACCACATCTCACTACAGATGGTTATGAGCCACCATGTGGTCGCTGGGAATAGAACTCAGGATCTCTGGAAGAACACTCAATGCTCTTCATCTCTGAGCCATATCTCCAGCCCTCCCTCCCTCTTTTTAAGGTTACTTACCAGCTTAACTTGCATATTTTTCTCCCAGTCTCCCCTCCTCCCTCTTTTTCTGAGCTAAGATTTCACTTTGGGTCTCTGGTGGGACTCAACTTGTAAGTTACTGTTACAGCCTTCCAGCTGCAGAGAATACAGGCATATGCTGCCTGCTTCTCTGCTGTCCAGACTACACTACTGAAGAACTAATTCTTTTCAACATTTAAACCAGTGGATCTGAATCCAACTTCATATTGAGCAACAGTCTCTCATGCACACAAAGCATTCACGAATACCCACTGCTCACTCAGCCTCACAAGCAAGCTCACACTCACATTTCTTTCTTTCCAGAACAAGCCAGAATTACAGCTCTTTTAGTGATTGTTATAATTTTTGGAATGGTTCATAAACTTTTCCAGATTCTTTTTAAATTTGTATTATTTTCATCTTTTTTTTCTTTCCCCCCAATTGTGAACCATTCCATATTGCATCTTTATTGCAAAAGTCAACATGCTTCTTAGAAATTCAGATTGTAATCGATAAAACAAACATTACATATATGAATTTAAATGTATAAACAGTTAGAAATCCAACAATATCTCCTATATACTATTACACAAGTTCACAATCTTGTAAAAACTATAATACAGGCATACTATACATCAAGAGGAAACACTATTCCTTTTCACATGATTTTTTTTTCTTTTCTTCTTGAAATAATCATCCATCACCATGGATCTTTTTCACTGTAAAAGGACTTTTCCAATATCTCAGCTGGTGACATTTTCCCAAAAGAAGACACTGAGAAAAATTTCGCATTCCTTGGGGTTACCTTTTTAGGTTTGGGCAGAAATCTAGTAAATCTGACTGACCTAGTCCACTGGCAGCTCTTACTGCTGCTCTGCTACATGGAGCGCCTACACACTAGGGGCAGCAGAATTTGCCTCAAATGCTAAATGGTATCTCTATAAACAAAGATGCCAAGAAAACAAGTCATGGTGTGGAATTCTAACAGTTGGGGATTGATGGATGGGGTAAAGGGGCAAGATATACACATGTACACATATTCCACTATTTAATGCTAACCTTAAATGTAATTAATCCCTTTTTATAATTCATTTTTGAGTGAAACACAGTGGAAAAGAATTTGCTATTTTTAGAAATACTGAAAAAAAAAAAAAACCCCAAGTTTTGCACTAAGGAACCAAAATGTTAACATAAAATGACCTATTCTTCACATTAGCACCTTTCGCTTTCTTTCAACCTTTGCCCCCAATAACTACAGAGCCAAACAAATCCTCAACTCTCTCTATAGTGAGTGTTTAAAGATGTCGATTCTAAGGTCCCCAAAAAAAAAAAAAAAAAAAAAAAAAATCATATGAAAAGGAATCTCATTCTGTCGAATGTCAGTCTACGGAGACTTTCTTACGGCTTCACTAATTTACTGTAATTTTCAGTTTCCAAATACAAAAATACAACAATTCTTATTGAAATCTATACGCTGGTAGTTTTAGTACACAAAAGAAAAAAAAAAACCCAAACAAATTATTTACAAAATTATACAGTTTAAGAAAAAACTTTGTACAAAAAATATATAAATCCTTTGTTCCCTCTATCACGTTTAAATGGTCAGGACTCAAAATATTCACCACAATGAATCTTTCCAAATATATACTGACTGAGCCACAGACATCAAGAAAATTTCATTCGAGATGATGGAGAAGTAAGAAGCAAGATGCTTATGGTGGGTTCCCTGTTCTAATGTGTTCCTTCTTTGTGGGCTTACTTCAGCCTCGGTGTCATCAGAAACATAATAACCTGAAGAGGAAGTACCACTACAAAGGGAAAACTACATGAACTTAAAAAGGATCCTGGAGTTTGACACATCATTCCAAGACAATATGAAGAGGCAAAAGATGATCAGAAGGTGGGATCTAGCTCCTTGTCACTATGTAAATCTAGAGTCCTGATGGTTTTAGGTTTCTGAGTGAACTGTTTCTATTTTAAGAAGCAGTCTTTACTTCAGGGAACAAAACCCCTGAGACACAGTTAGTGATCACCAAGAAGCTTCTGCAGCCAACAGGAAGTTTCAAATTTCACACCACACATATTATAAAAACACAGATGTGAGTCTCTTTGAAAAAGTGACATCCTATGTACAGTAATCATTTCATTTCCCCAGTGGTCAGTACAGCGTAGTGTTGCTCCTCTGCTTTTCCATCTAACATTCAGAACACAGGGACATAAATTTACACGTATATTTTACCTAACAGATACTCTGTACAGTGTACAGTAAAAATGCACACGGTAAAGGAAACTGCCTACTAACATATGCATATGTTCATGGACAGCAAAATCTATGAAATTATGAAAATATAAGGTCATCTGATCAATGTCAAGTTAGAACCTCATTTATTACTAGCATATGCAGACTCCTAGCCCATCTCAGCACCTCATCATCATGGTTACAATTTAGGAAAAGAACTTCAGATATCTTTAACCCTTTTGTGTAACTATAACTACGCTGAAGCTTTAAAAGGGAGGGAAGCCAAGAACTCTTTCCCCTAAAATTCTGCCTTTATTTTTATCAAAAACATCACTTGTTTATAAAGGTGCTGGTTTAAACCTTTTACTGATGACTGATTCTTGATTGCCCAACTGAATTACATATTTTAAAAGTTAGGCCCATTAATCAAAAGGGATGAGGAAGATAATGGGGAGTGAGTGAAGGGGCAAAAGCAAAATGAGAATTATTATAAAAAGAGAGGACCAACTGAAGCACGCTCACCATATATCAGAACAAGGAAGGGTGAATGGAGAAGCCCCAGAGCGAGTGTGAGGAGAGGATGGGCCCCACAGAGCCAGCTATAGTGCTCTGCAGCATCTGTGAACAGAGATGGGGATTTTGCTGAGGTACTGCTACACATAAACTCTGAAAAAGACTGACTATAAAGTGGGCTCTTCCATAGTTTAAAAAAAAAAAAAAAAAATTATTAGATTTACTTTTCTTCAAGACCATCCTTGAAAGAAAAGGGTATTTAAATTATTAATATCTCCTACTATCTGACGACCCATTCATAATAGCTAAGAGTTAAGAGATTCCAGGCGATTTTGACATTTAATGAAATTTTTATCAGCAGATTTATAATTCAAAATAAAATTTCTGAACACCCTGTCTTTACATTGTAATCCAGCACCAAGAGCAGAAACAAATGGTGCGGAAGGTAAGGTTCTAGAGAATCCAGTCACTACTGCGGATCTTCTCAACTGCATAAAGTCACGGCCTTTGGTGATGTGATATCACAGACAATTATGAGATGTGTTTGAATAGCAACTTGCTGTCCTTAAACCTACTGTGTTGAAGAGAAAAATTAAAAAAAAAATTTTTTTTTTGGCTCATTGACTTCTTTAAATAATTTTAAAAAGTTGTTCTTCTAAACAATATTTCTAAAAATTACACAGCTCGCATCAAATTTCATCTTCGCCACGAACGAGACTCATATTCATCTTCATCTTCATCATCATCATCATGCAAAAACAAATCTGAGGTTTCTGTTTCCTAAAGAAAAGAGGGTACATCCTCTTAGCTACACACAAACACAAAGTCAACAGCCACATGATAAATAGACTAGCACAAAAGCCCAGTTTATTTTCAGGGCAAAACAAACAAAACCATCAACCAACCAAAAATCCCAGTCTTAATATGGAGAACAGTATGGTTGGTATCTTGCCACATTTAAACTATGTGTATTGATCAACTCAGATATAACAAAGATATTTGTTTCTTTGTTAATGGTAGCATCAACATTCTTAACAGGGATCTTGAATTATGCAATACAATACCTCAAGCTGTCAATATAAAATGTGGCTAATTCTCTAACAGAATACTAGAGCTTATGTTTCCTATCTGGCTGTGATTTTGTACCTTCCAAGCCATTTCACCTCCCCATATCCCAGAACACACCTTTAAAAGGGATATTACTATTTATCCCGTTTATATTGAAAACATTAAGATTTCTATTCCAATATCACTAAGAAAATAAAGTGCTACATGGAAGTCAGCCATCTCAGTACACGCCTGTAATCTTAGCACTCAGGAGACTGAGGCAGCAGTTTTCTGAGTTTGAAGGTAGCCTGGGCCACAGGGTAAAACCCTGTCTCAAGAAGCAAAAGAACAACACAAAAAGTATTAAGTGGATGTTTAGAAAATGTTAGTTAATATGTGATATATGCTATCAATTATAAATTAGAACTCACTTTATTTCATTAACAAAAGCGAGGAAAAACAACAACTTTACCAATTTTTCCTGGGATATCTCTAATGGATTTGTGAAGAGTAGATATGCTAACTTTATGACAAGACATTCATTCCACATCTTATACAAAGTAGAAATATATACAAACATTACCAATGTGGAAGAATTACTTATTTCCTAACTTGGGAACACTCTGTTTTTTTGTTATGTAAACTTGTCCATATAGTCAAAACATACTTCATTAATTAGATATAAATTGATTCTTTTAAAAGCAAGATAGAATCAGAAATAATTTACTATGTTCCTGCTAATAAACTAATTAGAATACAAAAATGCAAAATTATTTCTCATATTTTAAAAAGCTATTACTTCTCCTTTTTTTTTCCCCAAGACAGGGTTTCTCTGTGGCTTTGGAGGCTGTTCTGGAACCAGCTCTTGTAGACCAAGCTGGTCTCTAACTCGCAAAGATCCACTTGTCTCTGCCTCCTGAGCGCTAGAATTAAAGGCGTGTACCACCACCGCCCGGCTGTTGACTATTACTTCTAAACTGGTTTTAACTAACTGAATGAAACAAAAGTGAGTGCCTATTTTTAAATGCATAATATTTGATATAAAGAAAATAGAGATGAAGTACTGTAATTAAATCTTATTTTAATGGTTGAATTTACCTCTTCTTTGACTTCTTCTTCCTCAGTCTCAGTAGATATAGATGGTACCTTGGGCTTGTGCCATGATATCTGTAGCCGACGATCTTTGAATTTTGATGCTTGGTTTGCAGCCTAAAGTGTATTTTAAAAGAACACATAAGCGTGCACTCATATTTACTAAGAATTTCTTTAAACACTGCACTATGTAGAAAGTGTAATGTTCTGGGGGAATATGAACTGTTAAGCTGGGGCCCTTCAGTTAAGGCAGTGTTGTTTGGTGCCTTCACAACATGGTGTTATAGTCACTCTACTATGCAAGGCTGGAGGAGGATAACAAATATTTTGTTCATTCAAGGCTGACCTCCTGACTTTGGTATTTACATATCAAACCTTAAAATCCTATCATTTCTGAGGTGAATCATCTCATGTCAATCACTGCACTGCATTTTTCAGTTCTATCTGACAAAGTTCTTCCCAGCTCCTCCCCATAACCTTCATTTCCAGAACTGGATCTCTCAACCTCCTGCTGCCTCAGCTTCCAGAGCACTAAGATTACAGATGAGTACCAAGGAACTTACTCTCTTTTCTCAAATGCTTAGAATTCGCTAGCTATCCATTCAACAAATGTTAATTGGACTTGGGCTTGGTTTCTTATACCTATAATCCTAGCATTATCGAGGCTGAGACATACAATTACTTCAAGTTCAGCCTGGGCTACGTTCTGAGTTCCAGAGAGGGTCAGGAATACACAATGAGATATGATTTAAAAGATTTACCAACCTAGGGTAAAACTTTTCTTTTGGTAGCACTATGGATTAGGGTCTTATACACATTATGCAAGGGTTCATCACAAAGTTATACTCCTAATCCCTAAGAGTTTTCCTCAGTACTACTTTCTAAATATTTCTCAGCAAATATCAATGAAGATATTTTATTTATTTACTTATTTCTTTATAGAGAGACCTAGGGTCTTGTGCATAACATACACCACTATGTGCAAGCATTGTACCACAAAACTACATTGATATACATCTATATGTTTTATGAAAACAAAGTTATATAATAATAAAAAGTCTATGGTGACCCAGTGAGATGGCACAGTAAGTTAAAGCACAAATCTCACCAGCTTAATGACCTTTTTGAGCCCTGAAAACAAGCTCCCACAGGTTGTCGATGACCTCCTAGTACATGGGTATCATGGCATAAGCAGTTCCCGCCCCCACACTCCACAAGATTCTAAGGTATTTCAGGTTTTTCCTTAACCATTGATTTCGATCCTTAAATGTATAAAGTTCTATTCATATTTACAATATTTCATATATTTAATATCTAAAGTAATAACATGCCAGAGCTCTGCAAACTAGTTCTCAAATCACATGTAACACAGAAGCTTAATTTTCTGTGTTTCTTGTTTGTTTGGTTTTGTTTTGTTTTTTCCAGGATAGGGTTTCTCTGTACAATATAACAGCCTTAGAACTCACTTTGTGCCACCACCACTGATTTTGTTTCTTAAGAAATGGGATTCTCACCAGATAGCGGTGGTGACACATGCCTTTAATTTCCACACTCAGGAGGCAGAGGCAGGTGAATCCCTTGAATTTGAGGCCAGTCTGGGCTTTTAAACAGAAAAACCCTGGAGGTGGGGGTGGGGAGTGAGGGGATTCTTTTGTTTTCTACTCTCATATCTTGAACTAAAGTGATCCTTTTTGCCTCAGGTCTCAAGTGCAAGGACAATAGGACATACCACTCTACCTGACTAAGCACCCTGCTTCTGATGGGCTATGCACTAAAAACAGTTTGTACTTTATTAAGATGGTTATTAAAGGAAAAAGGGGAATCTAGGTATAGGCTTCATTGTTTAGAAGGGAGGTTGAGGCAGGGATTTCATGAATTTGAAACAAGCCTAAACTATATTGCATACAATTTCACATGTCTTTCATACTTATAGTCACTTAACATTACATAAACCCACGTATGAAACTAATTCAGAAATATCTACCAAATGAATTAGTAAATGGCTGGAAAGAATATACTGTGCATGTTTATTTGCCCATAGCCAAACTCTATTTGCATCTATGTTAACACTGTATATAGAATAAACAAACATGCTTACCACCCTAATAATTTGAGTTTTGTCTCATATTAATTTGCTGCCTAGAAATACCTGGTACTGAAATAAACCTAAAATCGAATCTAGCTTTGGAACACTGTTCAGCTACAAATGTGTTTCCAAAGATTATTATGAAATTTCAGAACAAAAACTACTTCAAAAATACATTGATAAAAATTTGGTAAGGTCAAAGATTTAAAAACTAACATTTCTAACCTAGAAATCACTTGATATTTATAGACTGTAGCAAACAAAGTGCTGAGTGCACTGTTTTTAAGAGTTATCATGAGTTACATGAAAACTTACTGAGAAATGCTGAAGCAATTCATCCTTTTCCTCCTCAATGAATCCTCCAACTGTGAGAGCTTTGGGGCGGTGGTCCACCACCATGTGATTTAGTGAGCCTCTCCCTCTTCCTCGACCTCTGCCTCTTCCTCGACCTTGAGAAGACATGGTCTTTCCTCGCCCCACAGGTAAAATACCTAATCTTGCAGCCTAAATAACAAGAAATAGAAGGGGATGCACAATGTTAGGTTAATCCTTCATAAGTAAATAAGAAGAAAAATCTACTTTTTGAGATGTTATATAGGTTAAATCTCACCTCAACTTGTAACTGACTGAGCTTTTTTCGTAATTCTGTTGTGTCTTCTCCTGAAGAGAGCCTCTTGTGGAGGTCCAGTTCAGTGTCCAGTAGCTCCTTCTGGGCCTGGGAAAAGTTAACAGTGAAAAAGGAAACGTCAGGTAAACACTAAGATCTTATCCAGAGCATTACACAATAGTCTGCTTCTTCTCTGAAAAAAAAAACAAGATAGAAAAGACATGGGTGCTCTGAGGAAGTTAACCTTTGCAGATATAATGCTGCAAACATAGCCAGCATAATAACTCTGTTGAAAAGTTAAGTGAAAGGACTAACCAAGCATCATAATGAAACACAACTTACCACACAAAAACTATACAGAGCAAGTATTTATCAACTTTGTTCACACCTACAGTCCCAGGAATCAGAGGTTAAGGTAGGCATGCCTCAAATCGGAGCCACCCCAGGCTACAGAGCGAAACCCTGTCTTTAAAACAATTATATTAATTATAAAAAAAACATAAACAGTACAGAACTACTTTCAGACTGACAGACTGGATTCTCTAAGTATTGCCACTCTTTTTTATATGAGACAAATTATCGATCTTCACTTTTCATAGTGCTCAAGGAAGCCAAAACAGAGTGTCAGCCTCCCTGGAAGAAACAGCTAGAAGCCACTTGATGTGGCTGGGAACCAAACTTGGGTCCTCTGAAAGAAGTGTACAGCCTCTGCAGGAAATCAGTATGGCGATTTCTCAGAAAATCAGGAGTCAACCTACATCAAGACCCTACAATATCACTTTTGAGCATATACCCAAAGGATATACTCACACCACAAAGTCATTTCCTCAACTATGTTCAAAGCAACATTCATTATTCGTAATAGCCAGGACTTGGAAACAACCTAGATGCCCCTCAACCGAAGAAATGGATAAAGAAAATGTGGTACATTTACAAAGTGCAGTACTACTCAGCAGTAGAAACAGTGACATTCTGAAATTTGCAGGCAAATGGACAGAACTAGAAAAAAAATCATCCTGAGTAAGATAACTCAGACCCAGAAAGACAAACATATTATGTACTCACTCATAAGTGAATACCAGACATAAACCAAAAGATACCCAGCCTACAATCCACAACCCAAGAGAAGTTAGAACCCTCTTCCAGAAAAACAGATGGAAGCAGAGACAGAAATCCACAACTAACCATTGGGCCAAGTTCCTGGAGTACAATCAAAGTAAGGGAGGAGCCATAATATGAACAAAGGAATCAAGACCACCATGGGGAAACTCACAGAATCACCTGACCCCAAGGCAGTGGGAAATCACTGACTTGGGTCTAACAAATGGGTAATCTGTGTAAGACCAAACTAGACTCCCTTAATATAGGTGACAATGATGTGAGTGGGACAATATATGAGGCCACTGGCAGTGGATTCAAGATCTAACTGTAAAGCACAGACTAACTTAGTGGAACCTATTCTATATGGAGAGATACCTTGCCCAGCCTAGACACAAGGGTCTGTGGTGGGTGGTATTGGCCCTGCCTCTAAGAGATGATAGGACAGACTTAATAGACTTCCTAGTGGGTCTTATCTGCTCTGAGGAGCAGATGGGAAGTGGGGGGGGGGGTGCAAAATAGGGGGAGCAGGAACTGTGATAGGAATGTAAAAAGTAAATTAATAAACAAACAAACAAAAAAGAAATCTTTTTATTTTTTTAAAAACACAGTTCATGCAGTCCAAGCTGGCCTGGAACTCATTACACAGCTGAGGTTGGCTGTGAACATCTTGCTTGCTCCCAGTACTAGAAATACAGTGTTTCTCCAGCTTTCAAAAGAAATCCTGATGAAACATTTAGCCTTTCAAAGCAATACAAACTGACCCACATATTTATTTAGAGTGCACATGTGGCACAGCACACATGTGGAGGAGAAAGTACAACCTGTGGGACTCAGTACTCTCCTTCCACTATCCTGGTCCTGTGAACGGAAGTTAGGTCCTTGGGCTTTGCAGAAAACCCACTGAGCCATCTCAGCAGCCCAATAATTTATTTTTAAATTAATAAAAATATAATTTCAAATATATTGTATGTTTTATATAAATATATAAAGATATACGTAATAAGTTTATTCCCATTTCTTCAAGTGTTGAAAGTAACCTTTAAAAAAAATCCCAATACAGAGCTATGATACAATGAAACCTCTGTAGAAAGCAAAGCAAGTGCTCTGCAAGGGTTAAGAAATGGACAGGTTAATAAAATTAGGGTTAGTTCGATCCAGAACTTCTGATTACTCTTTTTTTGTTTTATAAAGCCAAATATGAAGCAAGATTTAATTAAATATTAGCCAGGTTGATAAGACTCTGCCAGATCCATTCCAGAGTTCCCAGGAAATGGCCCCGATTACTCTCTTAAGTAGCACATTACAATTTACCCTTGTCAAAATCAATGGTTATGTTCAATTAGTAAGAGATCATAGCATAGCTGAAAATAGGAAATACTTCTTTCCTTAAATTGCATCAATATTTCCTTCAACACAGAGAACTAATATTCAATTTAAATAGAGACTCATGTTTTGGGAGTACAGCTGAGTGCACTTGCCTAACATATACAAGGCTCTAATTCAGTTCCCAGCACTGGGATTGATAACACCAAAGGAGACATAAAGAGGTTCATTCAGGGTTACCTTGGCCACATAGGGACTTTGAGACCAGCCTGGGATATATGAGACCCTATCTCAAAAATAATAATTATATATATATTTTAATTTATCCCATAGCAGTGGTAGTGCATGCTTTTAATCCCAGCACTCAGGAAGCAGGGGCAGGCAGATCTCTGAGTTTGAGGGCAGCCTGGTCTACAGAGGGAATTACAAGACAGCCAAAGCTATCCCATATTACAGTAGCACAATCAGGCTATAAGGCAGGAGGATAACAAATTCAAGGCTGCCCTAGGTTATATAGTAAGACTCTGTTTCTAACAAACCAAAACACCTCTGTAGAACAAAAAATACAACCACATCTTCCCTAAAATGAAGTTTTAGGCCTTTAAAAATATAAAAGGCAAAACTGAAAGCTGATTAGGGCTGGTTTAGATGCATATACATTGGTACAACACCTGTTTAAAATGCACCTGGCCTGGGGTGTACCTGAGCACCAGCATCATCCAAGCAGGATTCTAAACTTATAGCATCAGTGAAAATGCATTATTCTTGCCAGGTGTTGGTGACGCATGCCTTTAATCCCAGCACTCGGGAGGCAGTGGCAGGCAGATAAATCTGTGACGGCAGCCTGGTCTACAGAGCTAGTTCCAGGACAGCTCCAAAACAATACAAAGAATCCCTGTCTCAAAAAACCAAAAAAGAAAAGAAAATGCATTACTCTCTAACAGTCTGCTTCTCTCCCACTAGTCCAGCACTAACTTCACCACTAGTCTGGGGGGCTGCCCATGGGTCTCACTGCACTTTCAAAGGGCCAAACACATCTCAGCTATTCTGTAAGTCTGCTAGAGGAGAAATGCAATTGGATACCTCCGTCTTTGTCTTTACTTTAGATGGTGTGGAGACTGCAGAAGATGTTTTTAATTCATCTTTCAACTGAGAGATCTTCTCTCCCAGTTCTTTCAAGGTCTTCATTATATTTGCTCTTTCTTCTGGTTTCATGTTTTTGTTTTTTTCTAGCTTAGAGATTAGCATCTACAAAATAAAAATAAAACAAAGTAAGTCTATACTAAGTAAATTTAAGTTCCAAAGCCTTAATGTATCTCAATTCTATACAACATTCTAGAACGCAAAGGATGAGTTCTTTACCTTCTGGCATTCTATTTGCTTTTCCAACATTTCTTGCCTCTTTTTCCTCATGTCTTGTTGTAACTTCATTGCTTCCTGAGAAAAAAGAAGGAAATCAGTATGGATTTGAAAAAGAAAAAAAAATCTGCTAATTATACATTCCCAATTCATTTCTTCTTCTCTGAAATGGACTGTCCCTCCTAAATTAAAATCAGATGAATGCAGCAGCTGGGGGGTAGGGGGTGGCTAGTACAGTCTATAAACCCAGGCTCAAAAGACTGAAGTGTAAAGATTATGAACTAGAGATCAGTCTGGGCTACACATGGAGAACCTGTCTAAAAAGAAACCCTAAAATCAGAAATGAAGCCTTTGAATATGTTTTCCCAACAATTCCAGTATTACTATGTAATTTATATCTATACTTTGTATCTTTAAAGAAAAGCATACGGTTTTCACTTTCCAGCATAATAGGCCAAATCCTTATCTCTGAAGCTTAAAATTTTAAAATATGAGATATAGCTATAAGTTAGGAATAATCAGGACTCAGAACTTATTTATTTGTTTGTTTATCTATTTATGCCTAGAAAATGTTGTTTCTAAACTCCTGGGAATTAAACCTTTCTATGGAGACAGTACATATAAATTATCTGTTTTTGCCAAGGGGTGGTGGTGGTGCATGCCTTTAATCCCAGAACTTAGAAGGCAGATATAGGTGGATCTCTGTTAAAAGCCAGCCTGGTGCACAGAGTGATTTCCAGGATAGTCAGGGCTACACAGAGAAACTCTGTCATGAAAAACCAAAAAGTAAATAAATAAATGTTTTGTTTTGTTTTACTGAAAACCCCTATGAAAGGACACTGCTACTCAAATCTGAGTCATATGGTGAACCTTAAGCATACTTAAGTGAAACATTATCTGACCTTAAAAAGGAATTGGAAAAGAAAATACCTTCAGCTGGGAATGTAGCTAACTGGTAGAATATTTACCCAGCATATGCCAGGCTCTGGGGTTTCCATCCCCAACCTCATCCCACCCACCCCAAGAAGAAGAGAAAAAACTATCTGCTTTTCTTTCTTGAATGGAGAGGGGGAGGTTAGGCAGGTATGGTGGCACATGCCTTTAATTCCAGCACTTGGGAAACAGAGGCAGCAGGGTCTCTGAGAACGAGGCAGGCCTGATACACAAAGCGAGTTCCAGGATCTGGACTGCACAAGACCCTGACTTGAAAACCCATACCCCACAAAGGGGGGGGGGGGATAGCATATAAAAAAAATATTAGTAGTTATTGCTCAGTGTGCTTAAGGCCCTTAGTTTAACGCTCAGAACCAAACAAAATCTATTCCTTGTATTTAATGTGGCTACTGAAGGCAACTGTCAAACATTTTTCAGTCTGTTCATCATTTTTAAGTGTCTTAAACAAGGAGAAAGCACAGCATGTTGTATGGCACAGCAACAAGAATGTGAAGGTGTTAGCACAGGCACTAAAGAACTAACAGGCAGAGGAACGGGGACTGTTACCTGTTTCTTCTTAAGAACTTCTTGAACATCATGAGATTTCGACCCTGAGCAAAGTTTTGAAGGTGCCTTTAAGTTTGAGGAGCTATAAATTGGTTTTGGGTGGCCTGGAGTAGAAAATACCTATAAAAAAGAAAGAAAGAAAATTAATAACACCTAAGTATGACTAAATTAAATCTTAAAAATGTTTAAGTTCATTTTTAGAGTAACTATTTCTACTCAAGACAAACTTGGGAGATGGCAGGGTCAAGACAGGGCTTCTTCGTGTAGCCCAGGCTGTCCTGGAACTTGCTTTGTAGACCTGACTGGTCTCAAATTAGAGATCAGCCTGCCTCTGCCTACAGAGTGCAGGGACTAAAAAGGCATGTGTTATCAGTGCCAGCTTAGACAACAGTTTTTTATATTTAAAAACTTCAATAGCTGGTATAGTGCCTTTAATCTTTCTGTGTCTTCTAGGTCAGTCTGGTCTATATTAAGTTATTTACCCTGTCTAAAACAAACAAACACATTCCATATGTAAAAGCTAGTTCTTTATAAATTCAATTATACTTCAAAAGACAAAAAATTATTTTTAACAAAATAATGTTTCTTAATATAATGCCATGTTTCCTTCCTTTTACATTTTAATCATGAGAAAAAGAATAGCAGTCCTCTAGCCAGTGGTGGTGGTAAAGCACACCTTTAGTCCCAGCATTCAAGAGGCAGAGACAGAAGCAAGCAGATAGATCTCTGAGTTCGAGGCCAACCTAGTCTATAGAGCGAGTTCCAGGACAGGCTTCAAAGCTATACAGGGAAACCCTGTCTTCAAAAACGAATGAACGAATGAAAGAGAAGGAAGAAGGGAGGGAGGGAGGGAGGGAGGGAGGGAGGGAGGGAGGGAAGGAAGGAAGGAAGGAAGGAAGGAAGGAAGGAAGGAAGGAAGGAAGGAAGAGCAGTACTCACCCACAGGAGATGGCCTGCTACTAACCAACACCTTAGTGTTCTATTAAGTACAATATTACAGACTACCCACATCAGACAAGGTTACTATCATGACTACAGAATCAAGATCATTCCATAATCATGAGAAAACAGACAAAAATGTCAATACTTTCCAAGCCATAAAAAATTATTAAACATCTCTCCACCAAGATTGTTGCTTCTCAAAATTTTAATAAAAATACATTAAAAAATATTTTATTTTTATCCACAACTACTATCTCAAACATTTTATACTTTCACTAATTATAGCTCTATCCTAAAAGACATGGATTCTTTTTCCCCAACATAATTGACTTTTCTTGTTGGTAAGTTACTTAACTTACTTATTTGTCTTTTTCAGACAAGTTCTTACTAAGATCACCAGGCTGGCAGTCAATGTACTCTTCTCCCACCCCAGCCTCCTGGTGCCAACTATATACTTTAAAATTTCATTTTGTTGAGTTTATTATGCCCTAAAACACACTTAACGGTACAAAGAAAAAGTAATTCCCTATTCCTTTGTAAGTTAAATGCATTTTACTGTATGGAAACACTACATTTTAGGAGATCAGTCCCTTGCTGATATAAATTTGACAATTTCCATAATTATAAAAAAGCTTACAATTAGTAGTAGCTTAAACACATGTACTTTATATTTTGGACAGCATAATTCTGGTGTGGATTCTTACATTAGAGTTATTGCACGGGTATATTCCTAATAGCAAAAGAAAGACATTCAACACTTGATTCTCTGACAGAATTGCCTTCATTGTTTTAAGATTCTATTTTTAATTTAATGTGTGTGCATTTGTGTCTGTGCACATGCATGAAGTGCCCACAGGAGCCATAAGAGGTGTCAGATCCCTGGGAGCAAGTTATAATTGTCAGTTGCTAAGTATAGGTGCTAGGAACCTTTAAGAGCCAACTACTTAGCCTTCACTAGGTACTTAATTATACTTAAAAGGAAAAAATGAGAACCAGATGTGGTATATGTTTTTAATATCAGCACTTGTGAGGCTGAAGAAGCAGGATCACGAGCAGAAGCCAGCTCAGGCTATGCTGTGGTAATGGGGAGGAGGGTGAACTAATAAGGAATTTACCTATTAATAAATAGCTAAAAGCTAAAATTCTCTAATTCTTAGAGAATAAATAAAAGAAAATAACCTGCAAATTCCTGATTGAGCTATGGAAATTAGGGAAGTACACTTAGGTCAAACGGCATTATTTTCTGGTTGAAAAAAAGACTATGAGACTACAAATCTTCTTCTTTTGGGGGGGGGGGGTTTGTTTGTTTTTTGAAACAGGGTTTCTCCGTATTGCTTTGAAGCCTGTCCTGGAATTCACTCTGTAGACCAGGCTGGCTTTGAACACACAGAGATCCTCCTGCCTCTGCCTCTGCTTCCAGAGTGCTGGGATTAAAGGCGTGAGCCACCAACGCCCAGCAAGACTACAAATCTTAATGTTAATGAATTTTTGAAATACTGTATAAATGACTTTAAATATACATGGAGATCTCAAGAATGCATACCGGGCTGTCCTCTCCAGAACCACCGGACTGATTTAGCAAGTGAGGTGTGTCACTCTGGTTAGTACTTGCATGTCCAAGACGATGTTTAACAGGAACCTTGTTAAGAACATAGGCACCAGATGTCTGTGGTTTGCCCATCACCTGCAAATACAAAATAAACATCTATGTGATATAAGTCTAAAAACACACCCAAGAATGATACAAATTTAAGGTAGAAGTTAAAAGTTGAAATGAGGTGCTCTGATTACCTGTAAGATTGTACTTTTTAAAGGCATTATGAATAGACAGATGGATTTATTATCTGTATTGTTTTGGATGTCTAACACATGTTATAACAACTGGAATGAGCTCACTAGTATAGCATGTGCACAAGTCCCTTGATTCAATTCTTAGCTCCAAAGATAAATATTTCACAGTAGTACATAAATAAGTAAATAAACACACACACACCCCATTCCTGTAACTTTAAAAAAATCTTCTCCAGCATACAATGTTTTGGAGACAGGATTTTTTAAACAATATAAATAGAAGTGACATGAAAAGACAATCTTTGGCTACATTCCTTCACCATTCATCCAACATCTAGGACAAGTGTTCACATTTGGGTCCAAATATGAAACAACACAAACAAAAATGTATGGTTTAGATTCTAATAAGAAATGATTAATAGAACTAAGACTATATACTGTAAGAAATATATACATGCATATATTTTTCAATGTTTTCAAATAGGAACTAGCTATGTAGCACAGGCTGGCCTCAAATTCACCAGCCTTCTGTCTCAGTGCCCTGCTTGCTTGCTTGCTTTTGGTTTTTCATCAGAACACATTTACCCTAAAGATGGTAACCTAGATGGAAATTATTACTGTCAATATCTGAACTGCTCTAATGCAGAATGCTTAGCTCTTTCCTTCTTTTACTTTTTCATTCAAATGCTCCAAGAAATATGTATACACTAGGCATTATTTATTTTTTTTAAGCACCAAGGGAAAAATAAATGCAAGAATTAAAATCCTAATTCTTGGTCAGACATAACAATGCAACTATATGTCCAATGCCTCTGAAGCCAAGGTAGAGGATCATATCAAGGCCAACCTAAGCTACAAACTGAAAAATACTCTCAAAAATACAAAATGGACTCTTTTTATTTGTCTGTTTGGTTTTTTGTTGTTATTATTTTCAAGATAGAATTTCTCTGTGTATCCATGGCTGTCCTAGAACTTGCTATGTAGACCAGGCTGGACTCAAACTCACAGAGATCTGCCTGCCTCTACCTTCCAAGGGCTGGGATTAAATGTGTGTGACACCGCCACCACAACCCAGCCTCTATTTCAGTTTTTAAAGAGGGAAAATTGTCTATATGGGAAAGGGTAGGATAAATGGGTGGATATGAAAGTGACTAATTTTAATATAAAGCAAAATATGTCAAGATTCAGAATTTAGTGGTAGATAGTACATGTGCAGATATCCCTTAAATATCGGAGTTAAAAGCTCCTGTCTAGAGAACTACTCTGTCTTATAGGTAAAGCTAAACAAGTTACACATAAGTGAGCCATCTGTTATGGAGCAGCTCTTTCAGCTTTAGGATACTGCAAAGCTTTTGAAGTAGGGCATTTCCTGAAGGAATTGATTCAGAAGTTGGGGGGGGGGGGGGGAAGCTGAACGACAGTTTAGATTCCCATATCACATAAAAAGCCAGGCAGTCAGGCTTAGATTCCCACAGTCACATAAAAGCCACCTATAATCCTAGTAGTTAGGAAGAAAGAACAGAGGATCCTTAGGAAGCTGGATCAACAAAAACACACAATGTCAAGTTTGGGCCTATACCCACTCCCATCACTCACCCACCCATACCCATACCAAATAATTACTTAGTTATAGATGGGTGGGGTCGAAGAATCTGTACTTCTATAATAATATTAGGAAACCAGACAATGCTGGTTTATTTATCAAACCATGAACAATTCTAACATGGAAGGTTTCAGGACTATGAGTTGGAAAATACTGGCTGGGAAGTGACACTACAGTGTTAGTAAACATGATTACCTTCTGGATACCTCCATGGACCGACGCAGGGGAAGACTGGGTCACCATAACCTGCTGCGGATGAAGATGCTGTGGCAGGCTATGATGCTGCTGTGAAAGGTGACTCAGGGTATGCTGCTGCTGCTGTTGCTGCTGCTGCTGCTGTTGCTGCTGCTGCTGCTGCTGCTGCAGGAGGATCTGCGCTGGGGACTGGAGTGCTGGCTGCTCATTGTTCTCTCTATGCCACAGGACTCGAATGAACCGATTGTTCAAAACTGCTTCTGTGCTAGAAATAGCTTTCCTGGCCTCCTCATTGGTAAGATACTGGATGAGTGCTGCTTCTGGATCACCCTTAAATGCAACCTTTAAAGACAATAATGGGAACAACTTAAACTTAAGACAGTAGTTAAATATGTGTCCAGTGCTATCAATTAATTATGTGCCTTTAAATTCCTATGTTAAACAATGAAGAACAAGATTAGGGAAAAACTTCGAGAAACCAGGTGTCTATAAGCTAAAAGGGCATCCCTCTGAAGCAAATGAGTACAAGTAGAATCAGATTCCTGGAGTTGGAGTTACAGGCAGTTTTAAACCAACCAAAGTGGATTCTGGGAACCAAACTCAGGTCCTATGGAATAGTAGTTCATTGTCTTAATTGCCATACTGTCTCTCCTTCAATTGAACAGATTGCTCTTGCAGGTTTATTCAACCTGCTGTATTCAACATAGATGCCTAAAAAAACTTTTACCTATATATAATAACCCATCCAGTTCTTTTTCCAAATACCATAAAGAAAAATAACAGAAGACTTTTAAGAGAAAAAGGACATAAAGCTTTAAAGTAACATGTAGTATATACTCAATTAAATCCTCACTTCTAACCACAAATTTATACATTCAAACTTCTAACAAGTGGATATCAAAAAACTATACTATCACTACAACTGATCTGAACTTGGATAATAGGCCAAAAATCTCAGTTTCTCAGATAATAACATTATGATGGGGGTTGGGGGGGGGGGGATTTGTTCAGACCAGGATCTCTGAACAACAACAGCAGCAATAAAAATAAAAATAAAAGGAACTGGTTCAGTGTTTTCAGGAATGGAGTACAGCAAAGAATCAAATGAATTCTCAAAAACAAATTCAACTCAATAATTCCATTATACACATACACAACTCTCTGCAAAGATGTCAGAATTACCACTGACTTTAATCAAGAACTATTAGGACTACTTTCCAAGTATCACACCACACTTGTATTCTGTCACTGATAAAACTAATTTACCTGGATATTAACTATGGTTCCAAATTTGCTGAAGTGTTCGTTGAGCTTGGTAATGTTGTTCAGTTCCTGGGGGATTTTTTTCACTTCTAATTTTGTGTTTGTATACTGATTCTTCCGCAAGAACCCTGGTTTACTTTGATTGTTGTTCCCTTGCCTGAAACAAACATTGATGAATCTTGATTAATTCTCCCATTATTCCCCACACCCCAAACCCTTTTCCAGACAGGGTTTCTCTGTGTAGCCCTGGCTGTTCTAGAACTTGTTCTGTAGACCAGGCTGGCCCCAAACCCTGAGATTCACCTGCCTCTGCCTCCCAAGTGCTCGGATTAAAGGAGTGCGCCACCATTTCCAACAAGGTTAATAATGATAATTTTAACTACTTTATTAACACAAATGAAACAACACAAGCATCAATTACATATTTCTAATAAACAAAACCATCTTACTTTCCCAGCCAGGGCTTCTTTGTAAGTGGCCCTTCCAAACCACTAATAGTTCTCTTTCGGCTCTCTGGTTCCAGGACTACTCTGGTGATGTTGCTATTAACTGAAACAGGAACTGGTGGTTCTGTCTGGATTACAATATTAGCAGCTGTTGAAAACAAAAATTTCCATTACTGTATTTTGAGAAAACATCAAATGACTGGATTATTTGGTCTAAAGCTAAAGAGTCCTGTGAACAGCAAGCATTCATCTACTACCATTTTCTATTTTTGTTTTGATACCAAGATCACTGACCTCCTGCACTAGTTTCCCAAGAGCTAGGATTACAGGCATGTACAACTGTGTCTAGCTTACCATTTCCTTCTTTTTATATTTTTAATATTTATTTATTATGTGTACAGTGTTCTGCCTGCATGTATGCCTGTAGGCCAGAGGAAGGCATCAGATGGTTGCTGGGAATTGACCCTAATCCTAACTCTAACCCTAACATTTGGAAGAGCAAGCAGTGCTCTTAACCGCTGAGCCAACTCTCCAGCTCCTACCATTTCCTTCTTTAAAATGTCTATCATCAAGAAAACCAGCAAATGCATCTATTCTTTACATTCAAAAAATTAAAGCTTAAAAGCCTCAAGGGCAATCCAATGTGACAATTAACTCAAGCACAGATCATCAATGAATGCAACAAAGTTATTGGAGAAATATGTCTAAATTGCAAGACATTTATTTTATATGTGGCACCATAAATTTACTTAATTACTTTATAAATATATAACAATTACTGTTCAAACAGTACTAAAGATACTGTCTGCCTCCTGTTATGGTCCAACAAAATGTTCATCACATTATAAAAAAACCCATGATTTTCTTATATACAATATTACTGCATTATTTTGTTTTTTTTTTTTTAAATTATGTTTTATTTTATGATTTGTCTACATGTATGTCTCTGTGAAGATTCCAGCTCCCCTACAACTGGATTTATAGAGCTACAAGCTGCCATGTTGGTGCTGGGAACTGAAACCAGATCCTATGGAAGATCAGCCAGTGTTCTTAACCGTCTCTCAAGCCCTTGTATTCACTGTTTTGAAACTGGGTCTCATTCTATAGCCCAGGTTGGCCTGGAACTCTGCTCCAGCCTGCTAAACACTGACTGGGATTATAGGTATTAGACACCATGCCCAGCTATATGTTTATATAGGACCCTATCTTACACTTACATATGTTAACATATTAGCCAAGAAGGGAATGACCAACATTAAAGGTATATGCTTCTTCTATTCAATCTTAGATTGATTTATGAGATAGTTTGAGACAGGATCTGACTTTGTAGTCTGGTTGGCCTGTAACTGACTAAGTAACTAGACTGGCCTCCAACTCATAGAGCTCTATCTGTCTCTGCCTCCTGCGTGTTGAGATTAAAAACATATACCACCACAACTGTCACAGCCTGATTTTTTTTAAACACTTATGTCTTAAAAACTTTGAAGCAGATGCTAAGAGATGCAATTTGGGGTTTTGTTTGTTTGTTTCTGTTTTTAGACGGTCCATGTGACCCAGGATGGCTTTGAACCTGCTATGTAGATAAAGATAATCTTCAGCCCTGGTCCTCCTGCCTCCACACAGATAAAACATATGTGCCACTGGACCCAAATATATAGCTGTAATCTTAAGGAGTAAATTGCTAAAATGCTAATTTTCTTGCAGTGTTTAGGCTTGTAGCATTATTGGTTTGAAGCTACAGCTCTCAAAATTCAGAATACATCGATGAGGGAAAAGGACCAGTCATCTCACCTTCTTGTACCTAACTCTAGTGCTGTGTCCAGCACAGAGCTAAAATGGTCTGAAGCCCTATCCAAAGAACCCTTTAAAAAGTATTACTATTTTCTGTGTCTAAAAAGAAATACATTGTATCTATACTATAAAAATATAATTTAGAAGTGAAGTTAATTTAAAACTATTGAGATAATTAAAAAATATCTTTAAAAAGTATATATAAGTGGCCTGATTTCCTAACGTGAGACCTAAAACACAAAGGTATTAGCCATATTGAGAAACTGCTGCATAACATTTATCATCAGAAAAAGGCACTCTCACCTCTTGGATTTGCATCCATATCTCCAGATGTGAGGCCAATCAGGTTGGGACGCTGTGTCTGTGCTCTTGAAAAGAACTGTCTGTACTGTGATCTGCCAGAGCTGGTGATACTAGGAGCTTCAGGGTTATAACCATCTGGTTCATATGTATCTGAAGAAAAACATTGAGAAGATCAGAGAGTATTTAAGCTATTTCCTTGTTATGAAAAATAAAGAGCTGATCAAGTTATGTATTCTTCAAAAAATATAATTACATCAAACAATATACACATCTTTTTGAGTTCTATCAGATACTCCTTTTAGGAGTAAAAGAAAACAGCACTACTATCACAAACATAAACAGCACTACTATCACAAACATACAGACATTCAAATTCAAACAGTGATGCTTACTTCTCAATCCACTCAGTCATGTCTATCCTGTATATCACTTAATCTAATAACTACATATTTTCACCACCAATTTTTGGATACATGAACATATTATTCATTCAAAGATTGTTGAATTTTGTGTCTCAATTTCTAGGTATTTCTGTAGTCAAAAAAATAAACTGATTTTTTTAAAGACAAAGAATAGCTGTTTCCTATCCAAAGCATATTTCAAATAAAAAAAACCAGTTATTTATGATTATCTTAATACCACCCTATTATTCAATATACTTTTTAAAAATTTCTTATACTTTTTCTAAAACAACAAAAAAAAACATTTTAAAAATTCTAACCCTATGTAACTATTTTATTAGTGTTAAAAGCAATTCTGAAAGAAACAACAGAACCAAATAGCACATAACCTTTTCACTCTACATCAAATCAGAGTAAGGGAGATTGAAGACACTGTTTTTCATAGTTATGATCCAGAAGTTCTTGTGTTTCATCCCTTTTGTTCTTAGTGGAAAAATGTTTAATAATTTATATAAAGTTTAAGTTAGGTGATCAGGTTCATTCAGATCGTTACCATTTCTATGACACAGAGTATAAGCTCACAAATGATCACTTGCTGGCGAGAGCTCAGTGGTTAAGAGAGCATGCTACTCTTGTAGAAGACCCAAATTGGGTTCTCAGCATTCACATCAACTGGTTTACAACCACCTGTGAATAACCCCATCTCCAAAGGATCCAACATCCTCTTCTGGATGGGGTGAGCACCTATGCGCACATGTATGTACCCACATCCAGACACATAAATACACAATTAATAATAAAATAAGCCAGATATGGTGGTACATATCTTTTATATCAGTACTTGGGAGGCAGGTACAAGTGAATCTTTGTGAGTTTAAGGCCAGCCTGATCTACACGGTTAGGTTCCAGGCCAGCAAGAGTGATATAGTTTCAAATAAATTCTTGAAACAAATAACCCCTGTGCGGGGTATTGGTGGCATAAGCCTTTTATCCCAGCACTCAGGAGGCAGAGGCAGAGGCAGGCGGATCTCTGTGAGTTTGAGGCCAGCCTCCAAAGCAATACAGAGAATATCTGGCTCGAAAAAACAAAACAAAATCAAACAAACAACCCCTCTTAGGAATTTGCTGAATTCTAAAAGCATGACTGTAGTCTAAATAAGCTAAATCACTCTCAATTCTCTTGCCTTGAGTACTATATTTCCCCTCAACTTCAGGTTCCATGAGCACAAAGCACCAACTCCAGGTTTAGAATAATTAAATGCCACTGAGGGGCAACCAATTGAGACATCTAGCAGCAGAACTAGAGCTGCTCCCTCTCATCCACATATTCTCTCATTTTCTTCCCTTCCACTTTTGAAAGCAGTTTATGGCGTGGTATAAAACATCAATAGATTAAAAACTGATTCCTTATAATAAAATGATAAATGATTATGAATATTAGTCACCATTGTGGTCTGTGGTCCCTCCTCCTGGGAGAATGGCCAAGTTAATAAATGAATGTAACAGTTCCTACTTCAGGGTTTACACTCATTCTCAGGAGTTATACTCAGCCTAAAGCTTCCTGATGATGACTTAATAAAACAAATGATACAGTTAATCTGCCAGAGCATTCTTGGATGTCATCTGAATTTTGTCAGCTCCTACTCTAAGTACATCCTTATAACTTTTCGTTTCTCTGTATATAGACTAGTGCACATGTGTGCACACATGTGGAAGACAGATGCCAGTGCTCTCTATTTACCACAATCCCTTACCATCTTATTTCCTGAGATAAAGTCTTTCACTGAACGTTCAGCTACAGTGTTTGTCCAGCAAACCCCACGAGTTCTCTCAACTCAGCCTCCAGTGCCAGAATGATAGACATGTGTCAACATGCCCAGATTTTTATATGGGTACTGGCAATTCAAATTTAGTTCCTTACAATGTGGGGGCAAGCATTATGCTGAATGATCCATGCCCTGAAATTTTGTTGTTATTGTTAAGTCAACAAGACAGAATTATATCACTTATCAAGAGAAATTTGCTTTAGTGTAGTATAGCTTAAAAGTAAATCCAAACGATATTTAGAATTTAAGTATGTAAACTATCTGAGCACTAGTTTGAGGATAATATGTAAAATAACAAATTCTTCAGTTATGCTGTTCTGGGCTAGTTTTATGTGAACAAGCTAGAGTTATCTGAAAGGAGGGAACTTCAACTGAGAAAATGCCTACATAAAGATCCAGCTGTAAGGCATTTTCTTAATTAGTGATTAATGGGAGAGGGCCAAGACCATTGTGAGGTCTTGGCTTCTATAAGAAATCAGGCTGAGCAAGCCAATAAGCAGCAACCCTCCATGGCTACTACATGAGCTCCTGCCTTATTTGAGTTCCTGCCCTGACTTCCTTTGCTGACGAACAGTGATGTGGAAGAGTAAGCCAAATAAACCCTTTCCTCCCCAAGTTTCTTTGGTCATGGTGTACATAGTATTTCATCACAGCAATAGTAACCCTATGTAAGAGACATACCAACTATAAATTAACAAAATAACACTACAACTTTTAAGAAAATCAGCAAAGTATGGTTCAAAGTTTTCAATTATTGTCTAGTAGCAACAGAAACTTTTCCACCGTTGCAGCTACAAAAAGATTCATAATTTATATAATCAAATGACCTTGTTCTGTGACCCCTGGGTGCATAAAACCCCAATAAATGTAATAATTCTGCAGTCAGGCCAGGCATGGTGACACACTTGAAAACCTAGCACACTTGATTCTAAGTTCAAGGCTAACCTAAGCTATGTAGTGACCCTTGTTTGTTTTTTTTTTAAAAAACCCTTTAGTTAGTTATGAACTAGAATCCAAAGGCAAAGTGAGGAAAATATCTAATTTAAATAGAGAGACTAACAAGATACCAACAAAGCATAGCACAGATGTTCAAAACATACATTAATAGGGCAAAATAATTTTCAAAAATACTACATTCATTATGCGCAATCTATCCATACAACAGGGAGTAGAAACAAGGGAATAAACTACGTTTATCTACCACCAGCAAGAAACCAGAAACTTATTTTTATTTCAAAGAAAAATTACCCTAGTTTTTCTTATACTATACAAGTAATTAACTAGAAAATACCCGAGCAGATACCATCTTTCTCTCTACCTCAAGGAAGATGTGACAGTTACCAAGGCACTGAATGTAAATATACAGGACAACAGAAATGACAGACACACACAGAGGGCCTAATCATCAACAACCACTAGGGACAAACCACAGAAGCAGAGAAACAGAAAATACTCTAAGAGATTTAATGGGAACTTTCAACAGGTCAGAATGCCAGGTCATCTGTTAAGCTGACCAGTTTAAGGTATAAAAGAGGTGAGGTGGATGGCCATCTGAAGCAAAGCTTACCTGGGACCAGAGGGGTGGGGCTGGAGACTGAGGTATGATACCCAATGGAGGATCCCATGAGGTTTCGAGGTGGCACCAAACGAGCTGCCAACAGAGGAGGCGGTGTCCCCAACTGAAGTCGCTCAGATGCAGCAGCACCATGTTCACGAGAATACATGGGCTGTCCTACAGAGGAAAGAATAGGAGGGCAGCTGGGATTGAGAGTCACAAGCTTGCTTCTCTGAGGCAATGGTATACTTCCTGAGACTGTGAGCCAAGACAGAGAAATTACAACAACAGGAACAATAGTAGAGAAAGACATTATTGAGATCCTAACTCAAGAAAACACAGACATGCAACTGGTTAGGATGCATCAAGGTACAAAGAAACTAGCATTGTATCTATAACCTGCCTTTTAGAATATTCTCTACCTTGAGAGAGAGGGCTCTGTGTAGTACATTCTTGCCTCAAAGTCACTATAAACTTGAGGCTAACATTGAACTCTTGGTCCTATTGCCTCCATGGCCCAAGTTCTGGGATCGCAGGTATACAACACCACATCTGGCTTTCTATCTCTTTGAATCTTAAATGGAATAAATGCATGCTAATTTTATCTAAAGCTGAACAATGATCAGTGTGCCAACCAAGTTACAGAAAGGCACCCTGAGCTGTAATTTCACAAAGAATCTGATATTTGATGAGCTGTGCAGATATATGAAGGCTGTCATGCACATACCCCTCTAATCACAAGCAAAATGTCAACTCTGCACAAAATATACTCCCATATCTAAAATCAGGGAAAAAAATAGTAAGAAATACAAAACAAACTACCATAGCCTCACAAAGAGTAAGCAAGGTTCACTAGCAGAAAATTCAAAAGGTAGTGAAAATTTGTTAGCACCACAGAAAAGGTGACATGAAGAAAAATGCAAATAGACCAATACTAGATATAGGAAATGATTCTAGATTTTAGGTGCCATGTTTTAAAATAAAGTACATTGAGGGGACAGAACACAAATGCAGGTGCACACACACACACACACACACACACATACATATATGTATACTGACACAAATTCTATACAACAGGATTGGAAAAATACAAAGTATCACAGAAGAATACCTTCCTTTGGTTTCTATTTAGTACCATTCCCTGACAACATATGAAACATAAAAACTTGTTAATATTTTATGCCACAAGGCCAGACACTCAAGGCAACATAAGATATAATAAATCAAAGTTAGAAAAATTTTAACATGTGACTAAATGTCCTTACAAGTTGTACAGTTCCTTTTGATTTTTAACACACTCAGATAAGACAAGGCACAAAGTAATCACTTGATTTCATAGTACTAAGAAGAAATAGGTTAAAATCTCCCATCTTTTCTGTCTACATGCATGGAGACAAGATGACAAACCTCCTTGCAAAACACATGAGGTAACTACATATTTAACACCAATCTTAAGTCTGTTTTAAACAAGTCAATCACTACAATGCAACAACAATTTAAAACACCCTCATTCATTTGAAAATAGTCCTAACCATGTCCTACAACAGAGAATTCTGTGTGAAAAATAACCAAGAGAAAACAAAAGAAACATAATGCCAATTTGTATGATGGCTTTAAATTTATGGTGCTACACAAATCGAACTAGTACATGTAACCAACAACTAGACTATAGGGCAAGCTTGTACAACTTCTACTTTTAAAACCACAAGACAATATTCAATTCAAACACTAAGAAAGGTGGCTATGAGTTGGTTAGATGCATGCCTGGTGTCTATGGAGGCCAGAAGAGGGTGTCACATAACCCGGAGTTATGGACAGTTGTAAGCTGCCATGTGGGTGCTCAACGAATATCAGTGCTCTTAACTAACGAGCCATCTCTCTAGCCCCTAAAATTTTCCAATACACTAAAAATATACATAAGGTTCTTTATTTGAACAAACCAAATTATGCTGTTTAGAATTACCAATTACATTATTTACAATAGAAAACTTGAGTAATTTTAAAGGTTCAACTTAAGTCTCAAAGACAGTATTTAGAATGAAAAAAAACATCAAAATCAACTAAAGATAATGAAAAATTTATTACTGAAAAACTATTATATTCTCTGATATTTCTGTGTATGTGTGTGTTAATATATTCCCGTGAATGTACATGTGTGTCACTGTGTGTGTGGGGGGGTGCTCAGAGGACAACCTTGGGTGTCAGCTGTCCCTCAAGAGTCCAGTGAATCTGCCTCTCTTCTTACTGTAGGAGTACGCACTACATGAATTGTGCTACACATCTGGCTTTGCCTATTCAGGGAATCTGGACTCCAGTTTTCATACTTGCACAGCACGTTCTTTACCCATTTGAGCCACTGCCCCATGCATCTCCAATTTTCAATTTTTTTTTTTTTTTTACACATTTGATTCCTACTGCAGACCAATGTACTGATGGTTTAATCACAGAACTTATCGCGTGTGTGCGTGCGTGCACGCACGTGTGTGTGTGTGTATGTGTGTGTGTGTGTGTATGCATGTGGAAATACGTGTAGATCAGAAGAACACTTGCACTGGCTCTCTAGAATCAAACTTGGGTCACAAGGTTTGGAAGCAAGTACCTCCTCTTTACCCACTGAGCCATCTCACCAGGTCCCTGAAATTGTGTTTTAAATGCTATCGTGTGTGTAAATGTTCATATGGGCACATGCATGTGAAGATAAAAAGTTGACCTCACTTCCAGACTAATGTGGTTTGATCACGCCAGACCGCCTGAAACAGAGTACAAGCTAATCCTACATTCAAAACAGCTGGACAAAACAGCCCTACAGACTACAGCCAGGATATCTGAATCTTCTTGGAATTCACCCCAAGACAGCACCCCTTACCAGCAGGAAGGAGCTTGGAAAGAACGACGCCCAAATTCCCAAATATTGTGTATGTTTGTTTTCATTTAATTGGACTTTGTTATATAAAATTAAATAAAATAAAAAAAAAAGTTGACCTCAATATCTTTCTACATTGCTTTTGTTTTCTACCTTTTGTCTTTTAAAAAAATGAGACAGGGTCTCATGTATATTTAGTTGGCTGCAAATATACTATGTAAATGAGGATGGCCTTTAATTCCTTATTTTCCTGCCTTTACAGGCATATGCCACCATCTCTGGTTTTACGTGTTACTGAGCCTAAAACCTGGAACTCAGGGCTTCATGCCATGTAGACAAGCATTCTACCAGCTAAGCTACATCCCCATCCTGCCTCTTACTTTTAAGACAAATCTTTCACTGGACCTATAACAGCTCCAGGAATCCATCTGTTTCCCCACCTGCAGGACCAGAGCTTAAGGCATTCACTACTCTGCTAACTCTTAATAGTGCTGGAGACCCAAAGCAAGATCCTCAGGCTTACATGGTGCACACTTTACTGAGCCACTGCACCTCCCTATATATTTGTTTGTTTTTGTTTTGCTTTTCAAGACAGGGTTTCTCTGTGCAGCTTTGGAACCTGTCCTGTAACTAGCTTTGAATGACACAATTATGACTTATCTGATATTAATATTCAATATGCCAACAAATTAATTCTCTTTAAAACACTGATACAGCATCTAAGACTATAAAGTAGTAAAACACAAATACCAATAGGAAATTGCCACTTTTTACTGGTTTAAAAAAAAAAGTGGTAATTACTAAAAAACTGCTTTTACTCTTAAGATTTTCATCTTTTATGTATTAAATTGGGGGGAGGGCTGTTTTATTTTGTTTTTCTTGAGATAGGGTTTCTCTTTGTATCCCTGGCTGTCTTGGAACTCACTTTGCAGATCAGACTTGTCTGAAACTCAGAGAACCGCCTGTCTCTGTTTCCCAAGTGCTGGGATTAAAAAGGTATGCCCCGCCACCACCTGGCTTAAAATGTATTTTTAAGATTAAAATGACACTAAATATTTCCCTATGCCATCCTCTGTTCTGACATAGAAATTGATAATTTTATTTGTTCTAATAGTCGTATGTCTATTACCAGACTCTGAGAAACAAATGTTTGGAATTTCTATTCTAAAATATTACACTCTCTTTTTAAAGACATGAGTGAAACTACGTGAGATCTATTACGTTACAATCTTTTGATTGACACATTTTAAGCACCAAGCAAATATTTTAAGAATTAATGAATATTAAATCAGGTCACTGGGATTACTGGTAACTGCCAAATTTTTAAAAATTAACACCAGCTGAATGTGGTGGCATACACCTTTATTTAAAACCCAGAACTCAGAAGATAGAAGTAGGTACAACTCTTGAGTTTGAGGTTAGTTTGGTCTACAGAGTGAGTTCCAGGACAGATATTTAAAAAAAACAACAACAACAACAACAAAAAATAACCTTGTCTCAATAACACCAAGCAGAATATTTATAGCGTGTCACAATGTACAATTTGGTATAAAACAAATGGGATACTACCAGATTTTTTTAAAGCAGAATTTTTACTACGACTCTACACTAAATTTAATAACATAAAAATATGCTGTTTACTGCAATAAATGTAGGTTTTCATATTTTTAAGTACAAAAGCCATTTTGAACTGTGAACAGATGACTGACAGAGAAATGACAAAAGAGTTAACCGGCGCACTGGTCACTATTACAGAAAACTAGATTAACAGGTACAGGGCATACTGTACATATCTGAGGGTCATTATAATATTGTCTTCTTTTTTATGTCTATTTGATATTTCTCATAAGTAAAAACAATAGCAACAATAAAACAAGCCTGCACTGCTTAGAAGAGAGTAGTTATTGAAAGACCATGCGACAGAAGAAAACGTCAGAAAGATTTCTGATTTATATTCATAAATGGACAATAAACAGACCTATGTTTAAGTATGTACTGTTATGAAACAAATGCTCGTGTGTTAAGTAAAAATCTGAAACAGGACATGAATGTTTCTCAAGACTTGAACCTTGCAGCAGAAAAGAAGCACGCGCGCTAGGTTTTTTCTTTTCCTTTCCTTCCTTCCTTTCTTCCTTCCTTCCTCCCTCCCTCCCTCTCTCTCTCTTTCTTCTTTCTTCTTTTTTGGTTTTTCAAGACAGGGTTTCTCTGTGTAACCCTAGCTATTCTGTAACTTGCTTGTAGACCAAGCTAGCCTTGAACTCACTGAAGTACACCTACCTCTGCCTCCTGAGTGCCAGGGATTAAAGATTCACACCACCATCTGGCTGGGCTAGGTAATTAAAAAGCAAAGCAAGGTTGGAGCTTTGTATTACATGCTAGAGGCACATGTTCAAACCCACCATCATTAAAGGAAGAAGGGCAGGAATGTGTCAGTCATACAATGATGTCCACATGAGTAGTTGAAACTTTCACCCATCAACAAAGCCAAAGGTAGAGGCAGAGATTTAAGAATAGGCTTTATTTTCAGAGGTTGAAATGTGATGAGAATATAGGAACTACATAGAATGTAACTAATTCTTTTTTTTTCTTTTGTTTTTTGTTTTGTTTGGAGCTCTATAGACCAGGCTGGCCTCGAACTCAGAGATCGCCTGCCCTTGCCTCCCAAATGCTAGGATAAAAGGTGTGCACCACAACGCATAACATAGACTATAACTAATTTTTTACAGATTCCTAGATGCCAAAGACATGGTAGATACCTTACAGAAATATAAATTCATTTCCCTTCACAAGAATAATAATGAAGCACATCACTATCATTTCAGAAAAGGAAACTGAGGTACAGAAGTCAATGAACTTGGCCTAGATGAGCAGGAGTAGGTAAAGCACCAGGGTCTTAAACTAGGTCCAGATACTTTACTTGTTTGCCTCTGCGACATGGAAGATGAGGAAGTGTCTCAGAGGCATTGCAAATTTACAAGCATGGATACACAAAAACAGAGCATACTACCATTTCTGCAAAGGAAGAGCTCGTAATCTGACTATAAAACAACCAGTTTTTGGATTGTTTTTGGTTTTTTGAGATAGTTGCTTGAGTTGCCCAAGGCAGCTTCATACTTGTTATGTGGTTGGACTGGCCATGAACTCTTTTTTTTGAGACAGGGTTCCCCTGTGTAGCTTTGGACCCTGTCCTAGAACTAGCTCTTGTAGACCAGACTGGTCTCAAACTCACAGAGATCTGCCTGCTTCTGCCTCTCAAGTGCTAGGATTAAAAGCATGAGCCAATTCTGCCCAGCTTGGACATGAACTCACTCCTGCCTCCACCTCCCAAATGCTGGATTTACAGGAATATACCACCATGCCTGGCTTAATTAACTTTTTAAAAATTTTCTGAAAAATAACTTTAAAAGATATATTTCAAGCTGAGTTGGCACACATCTTTAAATCCTAGCTCTCGGGAGGCAGGAGAAGGCAGACTTCTGAGTCTGATTGAGGCCAGCCTTGACTAAAGGGTGAGTTATACGACAGCCAGGACTACACAGAGAAACCTTGTCTCGAAAAACAAGAACAAACAAAATCAACCAACACTTGGTTTTTAAAAAGGTGTAAGTCAAAAGAAACACTTTAAAAATTAAATAATGTTTAAAATGTGCTAAATACTAATTTAAGTTTTCTGTCTTTACTTCAACTATTAGACTTTTTATTTGAGTCTTATACTTCTTAGAAGACAGGCCACATGTATTAGAGATTCCTTTAGCAAAAACTGAATGAAGTGACTATGAAGAAACTCTATACTGCCAGTGTACAGCAGCCAACAGAGGGCTCCTTGCTTCTCTCCACCTAGCATACAAAATTAAAATACGACCATATGACATAGTCACTTTGTGAATATGAATGCAACTGTACAGTTAAGAATCCCACAAAAATAACACCCACCCCTCCCCACCCAAGACAGGGTTTTTCTGTGTAACAGCCCTGGCTGTCCTGGAACTTGCTGTGTAGACCAGACCACCTTCGAAGCCACAGAGATCAGACTGCCTCTGCAGTGCTGGGATTAAAGGTGTGCACCACTGCTCAGCAAGAATAGCACAATGCCACAATCCATGTGTGAAGAGCAGAGGACAATTTGCAAAAGAGTCCTTTCTCTTCTTCCAATATGTCGGACCCAGGGATCAAACTCCGGTTCTGAGGTTTGGTGGCAACCCACCAAAAACACACTTTGAGTCAGGCTGTCTTCCTTCCAATCTCTAGACTGCTCCAGATATAATGCTGATGCCAGGCCAGGCAGAAATGACACCACAGTACTGCAGCCCAAATTGCAAGACCCTGGCCTTGAACCAAAACTGTATGACTAGACTGGGAGTTACACTCAAAGCAGCCCACGCTAAGTTTCTGGAATTGTACACCACCCAATCTGGACTGCCATCTGTACAGGATACATCCCCAGAAGCTACACACAGAGTCTTTATCAGAATATCCTGTCCCTTGTCCCACAAGGCGCAAAAGCCATAATTACAAGTGGCACTCCATTTACTGCCCATTGTCTGCCCTGTGTATGAAAAACTGATTTGTTTATAAACAAAAGCAAACAAATTAAGAATTCCTGGGAGTGATATTTACTTACTTTCTGATACTGTATAAAGGAGGTTCTGGGGTAAAGGAGGAGGTAGTCTTGCTCCCACTGGTGCAAGATTGGGCACTGCACTTGTCCCAGGCTGGTCACGGCTGTTTATTAAGCTTGACTGTGAAATGGGAGGTCCTACAGAACAAGTAAAAAGTAACAAGAACAGAATTAATAATCACTAGTAAGAGCAGGATACCGATACCAATTTATTTGGACTTAACAATCCTGATGACACTCCTAGTTCTCCAACAGGCAAAGCGTATCACAAATGAAGGGAAGTGGGACTGAGGGCCTGCAGGCAGGCATGAGAATGACAGGAAGAAAGTTGAGGTACAGTAGATGGCTTAAGCATATGTGAGCAATAAACATGAATAAGCAATTATGAATACAATGGAAAGTATCAAAGATGTAGTGAATCTGAACCACGGTGGCTTTCCCCTCTAATCCTAGCACTTGAGTGGCAGAGGTAGGCAGATCTCTGTGAGTTCAAGGCCAGTCTGGTCTACATAGGCATTCCAGAATAGCCAGGATTATACAGAAAGATTTTGTAACCACTCCCCACACCAAAAAAAGTAGAGGGTTAGGCTGGAGATAGTCCAGTTGGTGGAGTGCTTGCTTAGCATGCACAAAACTTTGATTGGGATTCCCCAGCATGATGGCACATGTTTGCAACTGCAGCTCTTGGAAAGTAGAGGTAGAAGGCTGAGGAGTTCAAGATCCCCGTTTCTAAATAAATAAATGAAGATCAAGGGTGGTAAGGATGTAGCTCAGTGGTTGTGTCTGGTATTTGTCTGGCATTTGCAAGACCCTGAGTTCAACTGTCAGTACCCCAAAAACAAATTAAATAGGTAAATAAAGAGAAAAGCTTAAGAGAATAAGAATCACTTTAACATATATTGTAGAAGTAATATATTTTCTTCCTAAGCTTCAGTTATATGCTGTATTTTCATACTACTTTTATCATTTATTTAATTAACTTACATGTGTGAATATTTTGCCTGCATGTATGTACATCGTATAAAATTATGCTGTGCTTAGAGGTAGGAGAGGGCAACAAATCCCCTGGAACTAGTTATGAATGTTTGTGAGCCACCATGTGGATGCTGAGAACTGAACCCAGACCTTCAGGAAGAGCAACAACTGCTCATAACTGCTAAACTATCTCTTGACCCCCTTTGGTCAATATTTAATATTCACAGTTGCTAAGTTAAGGGCTAGAGCTATGGCTCAATGGTCAAGTGATTGCCTGATATACTGTTAACTTCTGTCAATGCTACACAAACAAATTAGTCTCCAGGAAAAGAAACTTGAATGAAGAACCTCCTCCATCAGACTTGTCCCCAGGCATGTCTATGGGACAGGTTCTTGATTGCTAATTGAGTAGGAGAGCTCAGTTCACTGTGTGTCCTGGGTACAAGAAATGTACCTAAACAAATTAGTACAGAGCATTCCTCCTTTGTCTCTGCTTCAGTTCTTACTTGGCTCCCCTCACTGATGGACTGGTTGTGAGCTCTAAACTGAAACAAACACTTTTTACTCACAAACCCCAGTTTCAGTCACTATTTTAACATAGCAACAGAAAGAAAACTAGGACCCAAAGCATACACAGATCCCTCCCTTCAAGGTGCAATCCCAGTCACCCCCTCCCCAACAAGGTGAAGTTGAAAAACAATCACCTGCATATTAAATCCTTATATATTACCAACTTTTAAATTTTTACTTTGTGTGTGTTTGTGCTCACATATGTAAGTTCACGTGCTACAGAATACATATGGTCAGAGGGCAAGCTGAGGGAGCTGGTTCTCTCCTTCTGCCATATGGACACCAAGGATCAAACTCACGTCATCAGGCTAGGTGGCAAGCTCCTGGAGTCTGCTGAGCCATCTCATGGCACATTTTATGATTATTGTTGTTGTTGTTATTGTTAATGGAGGAGAAGTTAGCCATAGTGTGCATGTGGTGGTCAGAAGACAAATCTATGCAGTCAGTTCTCTCCGTGTTCTAGATGAGAACGTGGATTACAGGCTTACACAGCAATTACCTCTACCTGCTGAGTCATCCTGCCAGCCATTTTGTTACCAACTTTAATGGGTTGTATACTTTACTGCAGGGAGGCTTAGCAATGGGTACAGTTATGATTGTGCTAAACTATTATTCCTAATTGTTTTAATTAGTTTTCGTGCTAGGGACAAAAATCAGGTCCTCACACATAGTTAAGCACGGTAGTACTGAGCTATACCAGAGCCCTAAAATAAAAATAAAGTGCTTTAAAAAAAGAAAAACAGGGGTTGGAGACAGAGCTCAGAGATTAAAAGCATTGAGTGTTCTTCCAGAGATCCTGAGTTCAATTCCCAGCAACCACATGGTGACTCATAACCATCTGTCGTGAGATGTGGTGCCCTCTTCTGGTATGGAGGCAGAACACTATACATAATAAATAATTCTTTTTTTTCTTTCTTTCTTTCTTTCTTTCTTTAAGAAAAACAGCTGGGCAGTGGTGATATATGCCTTTAGTCCCATTGCTCAGGAGGTAGAGGCAGGCAGATCTCTGAGTTCAAGGCCAGCCTGGTCTACGGATCGAGTTCCAGGACAGGCTCCAAAACTACACAGAGAAACCCTGTCTGGAGGGGAAAAGAAAAGAAAAGAAAAATAGTGCTGGGGATATGGCTCACAGGTTGACAGTTTGCCCAGAATGCAAGAAGCCCTGGGTTCAATCCCCAGAACTGAAGAAGAAAGAAAGAACCAGATGATGCAGACCTGTAATTGCAGTTTCTTAGGAGGCTACATACAGCAAGAAGATCTGAAGGTCAAAGCCTGCCTGGACTACAGCTAAAGTTCAAAGCCAGCCTACAGCAGAGCTTAGTGAGACCCTGATGCAAAGAAAATTGAAGGGGCTGAGGGTGAGCCTGGGTGGGGAGTGCTTGGCGAGGCATGAGTGAAGTCCTAAACCAAGAACAGAGAAATACTGCTTAAATTAAATAGCAATAATTTTTAAAATAATAACCTGCTATTCTTTAATAATGCAATGTTACATGTAACTAGATATTTTCTTAGACCTTTACATAGATATAAATAATTCATTACAATTGAATTTTAAAAGTTTAGTCTTATTCCTGTTCTTGCTATACTCATAACCTTACCTGACTGTCTGCTCAGCCTCCAGAGTGCTGGGTAACAGGCGTGTGTCACCACACCCAGCTAGCAACCACTAATACTTCTTATGCTTGAGTGGGAGGTATTAAGGTACACACACCCATGCATGTTTACAGAGGTGGGAAAAGGATGTCAGCTGTCATGCTCTGTTACTAGCCACCTTATTCCCTCTAGATCCTCTCTCTGAACCCACAACTAGACTGGCAGACAACAACCCCAGCAATCCTCCTGTCTCTACCCTACCAGCTCAGAGATGGGTTACAGGTACACAGCCACATCTGGCTTTTAATGTCAACACCAGGTATTTGAACTCAGATCCTCATGCTTGCACAGCAAGTACTCTTACTGACTGAGCCATCTCTCAGACCCTTAATAAGGCCATTTTAAAACATTTCTTACTCTTGATTTGGGTGGATACAATAAATGCATATTCTTTTTTTAAAAAACACAAATAAAGTCTTTTTCAGTAAAGAAATTCACATGGAAATACACACTGTTAAATGGCATGGCATTTAGAATTTACTCCCACAAAAACAAATCAAACCAAAACACTATGAGGAAAGAGTTCAATCAAGGTTGACTGAATAGATAATCATAGGCCAATTAGACAAATACTGCCTAAGTTAGTAGTCATCCTCTAAAGAGTATGTAATTTTTTTTAAATCTCATTATTTTAATATTCTTGAAGAGATTTTCTTTAAGTACTAAGAAAATCCATATATCTTCCAGTATACTAACATCTTAAGATACTAACAAGGTTTCATCTCCATGTCAACACAAGGTAGGCTACTACAAACAAAGATCACACTGCAGGTACAGTAAAGAACAGCAGAAAGTAAGCACATCTTAACTATGGGAGTATATTTTAAATTTCATTACTGTTTTCCAAATATTTTAATAGTTAGCAAAAGGGATGAGGTTCTTCTAATACAACTCATCAACAAAACAAGATTCAACCAACACATACTTACTTGGTATGGGAAGCACAACGGAAGGTGGAGGCTGACCATGTCCTTGAGGAACAGGAAGTCTCATACTATGACCAGGGCCTGGGCCTGGACCGGGACCAGGACCAGGGCCGGGACCAGGGCCTGGACCTGGGCCTGGCATTGGAGGCATTAACATTCCGGGAGGTGGTGGAGGAGGAAGCCCAGGAGGAGGGGGTGGGAAGGGAATCATACTTGGCAGAGCAACTTCATCAACAACTAGAGGATCATTCCCATGATCAAACTGACAAAGGTCACCAAGTACACAAAATCCTCTTTCTGTAAGAATTAAAATTAAAAAAACAAAAACAAAAGCCTTATTACGATCTACTTAGAGTTCAAAGAATAAAACAAATTCCAGAAAACTCAACATCCTAATTTACATTGTAGTTTTTTTTCTAAGAAGTGGAAAATCTCCGTAGGGCTTGCCTGTGAGTGACCACATAACCTTGAGGCAAGCGTATTCTCTATTCTCTATGACAGTATGACCTATTGAAATTTTATAACAGCAGGGTCAAACAGGATACTAAGTAGCTATGTAGATTAACCAAGCTGTTAAATTTTTATAAGAAAGAAGTGTGGTGGTGACTACTGTAATCTTAGCACTCTAGAGACTGAGGCAGGAGGATTCCAAGTTTGAGGCCCCTGAGTTACATGCACATTTTAAGCAAGCCTGGGCTACATAATAAACATAATAAAGCTTTCATTTAAAAAAAAAGAAAAAAGAAAAAAAATTTTTAAGAAAAACAAGGTATTTTATCAAATATCCATTTATCAAATGTTTGATAGGAAGGAATAAAAGCCTTAAACTAATTTCATTTCAATGATCTATTTCATAATATTATTTTAAAGCAACCATTCTTGCTATATATGGTTTAAATTTAAAATACTCAAGTAGACAGAAGAAATGACTTACAATGTCCTAAAATTTAATAAGATATCTATAGTTAACAGCAGGTGTTTTTAAAATAGTTGGTAGAAGATCATGAACATTTCTAACACCAAAAAATAAGTTCAAGGTTATAAACATACTAGTTACTCTGATTTGATTACTACATATAGTATAGATGTACTGAAATCTCGCTTTATGCTACAAGTGTGTACAGTATGCACCAATTTAAACAATATTTTAACACTAAATTTCTACTAGGCAAGATGTAGAAGGCTATTTCTTATAGAACTACTTCTAACTGAAAATGAAATGGCTCTAAGTGCATATTTATGATATATGGGTTGAACATATTTTCATACATATGGAATACTAAGTAAGAGCCTCAAAAACACTTGAGGGAGTTCTTCACCTGTCACTGTGGAGTTATTTCCAGGACACTGTAAGTGAAAAACATGACATGGTGCATGAAGAAAACAGTAGCAATCACATAAAAAAAAAAGTAAGGCAAGTTGCCTGCAACACTTGCTTTCTTAGCTGGGAACAGCACATACAAAAGAGAAGGCAATCTTTACCATCATAATCTCTGCAGCGCCTCTTTGGTGGTGGGTTTCGACCAAAAGAATTGGAAGAGCTATGATTGTTATAGTAATTAGACCAGCTCTCAGTTGTGTTTTCAGAATGGTGAGCAGGTGCAATCACAGTGACAGTGCTGGGAATAGACTGCGCCCCAGAGGAATACTGCTCAGAAGAGTTTGGAGGTGGAGCAGATGCGGGCACATAGGAGCTCTCCAGGTCATTTCTTTCGCTCTTAAACTTTGATCTTTCCCTGTGCTCTGTTTTAGAGACAGAAAGAAACAAGAGAGGTCATATGTTTGCATGTTACACTTGCTCAGAACAATGCTGAGAACATTATCCTGAGCTTATTGCGAGACTGAAGCTTAAATGCACTCACTAGTAGTATATTCTAAAAGCAGGAACATATCTCCACAGACTTGTGAAAAACAATGTTTTACAGTAACAACAACTACACTGACAGAATATGGGTCAGTCTTCCCACTGGTATTTTAGGATTTTTCTTTTTATAAACATTGGGCAACCTATACCAAGTCAATTCAATTACTTTCCAGGAAAACAAAACAAAAGAAGGCAATCTTTTACCTAAGTACTGTTGTCACTAATTAAAAAGACATTTGTATTAATTATAAAAATTACTTAAACCTTGATATACTCTATAAAACTTAGAAATACCTTTTAAAAACTGCCTTAATTTTAAGGATATACCAGATTAGTGCTGTCTTTGTAAGACCAATATCCAGCTTTCCCATTTCTCCCACCTGTCAGGTAAGCTTTCCAAGGCTGTTGTCTGTCTACTCACCAACATTCCTGTTTGGATCTCGGTCTTTGCTGCGGCCCCTGCTGCGGCTTCTACTCCGACTCAAGCCTCTGCTCTTACTCCGGCTCTTGCTCCTGCCCCTTCTCCAGTCATACTTCTCACGATACAGCTCATTCCGCTCGTAATACCGCTCATAGTCTCTCCACTTGCCATCCTCTCTTTTCTTCTCACGTGTCCTATAATACACAGATATAAAAGCCATTCGTAGACTCTAGAAATAAGATCTGTGCACAAGTCCAGAGAATAAAATACTCTCTTTATGTCACCACAATTCATAATGTCTATTTTAGAATGCCTCGAGACTACCACTAACTCTTCTAACCATTATTAAAAAGGAGAAGGGTTTTTCCACTTCACGTACACAGAGTAGGGAGAAAATAAAGAAAGGTAAATCCAAAAGTATGAGGAAAGTGGGAGAGAAGATAGAAATCAGAAGGAGAAAGGTGGGGAAAGGCTCAGATAAGTCTTCCTAAACATAGACCACTTTGTGATCAAAGGTGAACATATGCCAAACTGTACCCCTTTCAGCATATGATACTATGGATAATTTTAACACAGAGCACCCCTAAACAAATGGAACATTTCATTATAATTCTCTAAGGAGACTGCTCCCACCCCTGTGCTCTTGGGGAAAGCAAATAATGACTGTTTTTTTTAGACACAGAAGCTAAGACAACAGCAAAAGACAGAACGGAGAGAAGGCAACCCTCAGTACTTTAGAGAGGGTATTGGGATACAGACCATAGATGCTATGTAACTAACTTTGCATACTGAAAGTGGCTTTCAGTACCTTACTATTCAGAGACAAATACAAACCTTCGTTCACTGGACTCTGAACGACTCTTCTGAGGACTAGGATATTTCTTCTTTCTACCATCTCGTTCTTCTTCTGCAGGCTCTTGAAATACCTGTGAGATTTGTTAAAAATAAGATCAGCACCTTCATGGGCAGTGGTGGCATATACCTTTAATCTCAGCACACAGGAGGCAGAGGCAGGCGGATACTTGTAAATTCAAGGCCAGTGTGGTATAGAGTGAGTTCTAGGGCAGCCAGGATTACACAGAGAAACACAGAGAATGATCAGTTCCCCTATAAGTTACAAAACTTAGATAACTGATAAATCTTTCTAGTATAAGGTATAAGCAAACATACTGAATGCTGCGGCCTGAACTAAGTGTGTGGCCCCATACGCCTGAGAGGTAAAAATGGGGCACCCTTAAAGTACCTGAGACCCTGTCTCAAAAGAAAACACACTACTCCTCTCAAAAACAAATACAAACATTCAAGTTATACCATTTATTGACAGAGAATTACATACATATTTAACATACTGTTTTAAGCCATTTCCAAAAAAAGTCAGAGAACAGAGAAAGTAAAAGGCAGGCTTACATTAATTTAAAACAAGGTATGTTAGCTGACTATGGTAGTACTATCACATGATTGAGACAAAAGGATTGTTATGTTTGAGGCCAACTTGGCCTATAAGCAAAACCCTGTCTTTAAAAATAAAGGCAGGTATGATAGCTCATACTCGTCATTCCCACATATGGCAGGGCTGAGGCAGGGGAACTTTCATAAGGATAAGGCTAGTCTATTCCAGGCCTCTAGAGCTAAACAGCAAGGCTTTGTCTTAAAAAAAATTATTATGTATTAAAATAACAAAGCAAAACAGCATGCCAACTCTGAATTAACTTACAGTAGCTAACTATAGTATAAGAAGAGGAAAAGCATGGCATTCTCTAAAGAAAGGTAGGAAAACAGCAATCATTAAGTACCATTCTTAATTTCAAAATACAATAAAACGGGAAATGGTAGCTCACACCTTTAATCTCAAGCACTGAAGACAGGCAGGCAGACCTCTATGTGTTCAAGGCTGGACTGGTTTATACATCAAGACCCAGAATAGCTATGACTACAAAGAGATCCACCTCAAAACACCAAAAATATAAAATAAATAAAAATTAATAAAGTTTGGGCTGAGGTAGTTTTACAATCCTTTAACCCCAGCTCTTGAGAAGCAGAGCCACTGTGAGTTTGAAGTTAGCCCAGTCTACACAGCAAGGCCCTGCCTCAAAATCATAGTAAATAAATAAGTTTGGGTCAGGTATGCTAACATGAGAAAGCAATCCTATTGAGCATTTTGGAGACTAAGAAAGAAGGATCATGAATTTAAGGGAACCCTAGATATCATGAGACCCTCAAAATTAAAAAAATAAAATAAAAAATTGGGGAGTTTGGGGCCTAGCTCAGTAGCAGAATGCCTGCATAGCAAAAACAGGCCTAGAGTTTGATCCTCACTACCACATACAAATGAATCAAATTTGTAAGAACTAAATCAATTTCCAAATAATGGAGAAGCTCCTTATATTATAATATCAAAATCAGAGAATGAGTAAGAAGAGAATGACTAGAAGGTAACAATATAATAAAATGCAGATAGCAGAGCTGGAGATGATAGCTCAGCAGTCAAGAGCACTGGCTGCTCTTCCAGAGGTCCTGAGTTCAATTCCCAGCTTACAACCATCCACAATGAGATCTGGTGCCTTCTTCCAGCCTGTAGGCATACATGCAGACAGAACACTGTATATGTAATAAATAAGTATCTTTAAAAAATAAGATTAAATGCAGATAGCATAATAATAGCAGCCACAACATGGCAAGCACATGGCAGCAGAGACCACACACTCATCCAACTGGATTCGTAAGTCCATTTCCTCTAGCAATGTACAAAGAACACAAATGTATTATTCCACTGAGAAACAACAAGCTGAATCTAGATCATAACAACCCCAAAGAACAAATAGTATTTATTTACAAAATAAAATCTTGGGAAAGTTTTGGTAAAAAGGAACAAACACTGTGTGCAGCAAAAAAAAAAAAAAAAAACTATAGCATACATCTTCTATTGTTTTTCAACATCAGGACAAGCTTTGTCAATGGTCCAAATTCTCTTGCCTTTTCCCCCAGTGGCCAATAATCTAATTATAAAAACAACTGGCAGTACAATGCAGCTGAGGCTCACGAAGTCAAGATGGATAGTCTTGAGATTTGTTTCAGAGCGAGTTGCAAGCTACAAAAGCAGCAACTGAGTAGATCAGGAATTAAACCAATACATTTATGTGTGTGTGTATGAACTATTGTTTATACCAGTAATCAGAGTTAATTCAAACATAAAATCTTAGGAACAAGAAATGCAAGACAACTGTCATTCAATTTTTCAATTTTCACAATTAGGATTTATTACAAAGATACGACAGATGGAACCTTGTAATGATTTTTTTTAAAACTGTTCTTTTAAAACAGGATAATAGAATTTTTAAAAGTACAAATGAACATGTACCATATGAGTAGATTTGCCTGGAGAGGCTAGAAGGCTAGAAAATCCCCTAGAGCTGGAGTTGCAGGTATTTGTTCCATCTAACATGGGAGCTGGGAAGCTCATGAAGAATGGCAATGCTCTATCAACTGATCCATCATCTCTTCAGATCCCAGTTACCGCTTTTGTTAATATTCATATCAAGTGTAACTGAAACAGATTCTCGTAAGTCAGTGAATACCTGCTATGACTACCAAATATCACAAACTATATACTATAAAGCATCAAACAAAAATTTCTATGCCATATTCAAGGAAGGTCTCCATTTTTCCTACTTGAAAAGACATGCCAAACCCTCAGTAGCCTACTTTTTTTTAAAAGACTTTATGAGCCAGGCTCAGCAGCATATACCTTGAAGCCTAGCATTTGGGAAGTGGAGGCAGACAGATCAGATATTCAAGGCCACTTTGAGTTGTATGAGATCCTGCTTCAAAAAATAAAAGTTGGAGACTGGAGAGATGGCTCAGTGGTTAAAAGCGCTGGATTATTCTTCTAGAGAACTTGGGTTCAATTACCAGCACCCACATAGCAACCCAAACTGCCTATAACTCCAGGAGATCCAACACCCTCTTCTAGCCTCTGAGGGCACTATATTCACATGGTACATAGACATACATATATATATATAGGCAGAGCACCCAAACACATAAAATAAAAATAAAGACTATAAAAAATATTAAGTATATACATAAATAAAAAGAAATTATAGAGCACTATATAAGAACAAAGTAAGTGATAACGGTCTCAACTGATCTTAATTTAAAACAGCCACATTTTGTTAAGTCAGTTCAATTATATAGTATTTGGTTAAAAGCACTGGCTGCTCTTCCAGAAGATCTGAGTTCAATTCCCAGTACCCACATATTGGCTAACAAGTGTTTTTAACTCGTTTCAAGGGATTCAATACTCTCTTCAGGCACTATATACACATGGTACACAGACACACATGCAAGCAAAATATCCATACACAAAATAAAAATAAATCTCAAAACATATTTAAAGTAAATGAGAAATGACAACTAAACAACAATCAAAACTCAGAAAGAATACCATACAAAAGGAAAAGGACAGACTATACATATAAGTAAGGAACACTGCTGGGTAAACTAATAAAACTAAAACAGACAGTATATGGTATGAAAGTTAAATATAATGAAAGTGATAATGGTGCTATAATTATCCTAAAGTGTGCAGGCGTGCATATGGTGTGTGTGTGTACAGGTGAGTATACTACATGTGTGTATAAATGTGGAGGCCAGAGGTCTATGTCCGGTGTCTTCCTCTATGACTCCCCACCTTATTCCTTGACACAGATAGTTTCTCTTTCTATACCCGGAGACTGGAGACTAGTACCAAGCAAGCCCCAGGCATCCTCCTGGTAATGGTATTACAGGCACAAGGGCTAGGATTTTGTATAAGGTACTAGGGGTGAGGAGTAGAATCAAACTCTGGCCCTCATGTTTGTGAAGGAAGCACTTTATCAACTGAACAATCTCCTCAGCTTTTTATTGATATGGGGTTTTATGCATCCCACATTTCACATATCCTATTTATTTTATTGCCCTTGAATTCACTATATAGCCAAGGATGACCATGAACTTCTGATTCCTCTGCCCGTGCCATGCAAGTGATGGGATTACAGGAATTTGCACCATTGCACTTGATTTAATGTGTTCAAACCTAATGCTTTGTAAATGTTTGGCCAGCACTCTACAAACTGAGTTCAAGCTCCTGCTCCATAAAAAAAAAAAAAACTTATTGGAAAAGGCAAAAAGATGATAGTTTATGAGAGCAATGACTCAAAACAAACAAACAAAAACCCCCAAAAAACAAAAAAAAAAAAAAAAAAATTATGGTGTAGACATATAATGAAAGTAAATGGGGCAAATCCTCAATAACACATCTAAGGCAAGCATCATATGAGTGCTGTGGATGCTACCTAGAGAATTCTGATAGACAATTCTGATGTAAATTGATCAGTTTCTAAATAAAAGACTTTTAAGTCATTTTGTCTGTAGAATAAAGTACCTTTTAAAAGTCAGAAAATGGGGGTTAGAGAGACAGCTCAACAGTTAAGAGCACATGCTGCTCTTGCAAAGACTCAGGTTCAGTTCCCACAACTCATATGGCAGCTCACAACTGTCTACAACTAGTTCCAGGGAATCCATCTGAGTTCAGAGTACTATTACTGTGGCAAAACACTATGACCAAAAGCAACTTGGGGAAGAAAAGTTTTATTTGGCTTACACTTGCACATCCTAGTAGATCAATGAAGGAAGTCAGGGCAGGAACTGATGCAGAGGCTATGGATGAGTGCTACTTACTAGCTTTTTTTTTTTTAATCATGGATTGCTCAGCCTGCTTTCTTGTAGAACTCAGGACCACCATCCCAGGCAGAGATGGCACTATCCCACAATGGGTTGGGTTCTCACCTACCATCACTAATTAAGAAAATGCCCTACAGACTTGCCCACAGTTGGATTTTATGGAGACATTTTTCACCCACCTTTCTAGTGATCTAGCCTGTGTCAGGCTGACAGTAAACTAGTCAGCACAGGACACAACATCCTCTTCTAGCTTCCATGGTCACCAGATATGCACATGGTACAGACATACATGCAGGCATATACTTACATAAAATAAAAAAAGTCACTTTTATACTTATTTACTTTATGTGTATGAATGTTTTGCTTGCAAGTATGTCTGTGTATCATGTATACTCTGGAACTGGAGTTATAGATGATTGTGAATTGCCATGTGGGTGGTGGGAATCAAACTCAGGTCTTCTGTAAGAACAAGTGCTCTTAACCACTAAGTCAACTCTAAAGCTGATAAAATAAAAACAAAGATTTCTTTTAAAAGTTGGAAAATATTTCTTTAGTCCTGGTACTGGATTAAAGACTACCTATATTTATTTGTACATACAAATCTTTTTTTCAGCTGGTAAGTGGTGATATATTCCTTTGAACCCAGCACTTCGGAGGTAAAGACAGAAAGACCTCTACGAGTTCTCCTTCAATACTGAAATAAAGATATGTGCTGGAAATATAGCTCAGAGTGTGCTTGCCTGGCATATACAAGGCCCTAGTTTAGTTCCTATTCCTGGGTACAGTGACACATGTTGTTGATACTAGCACTCTGAACGTAGAGGAAAAATGAGCAGAAGTTCATGGTTACCCTTGACCACATAGTGAGTTGAGACCAACCTAGAATATGAGATCTTATCTAAAAAATTAAAAAAAAAAAAAAAAAAAAAAAATCCTACAGCCAGTGATGGCACACGGATTTGATCACAACAATGGATTTATGAGTTTGAGGCCAGTCCGATCTACATAGCAAATTCTAGGACAGCCAGGTCTACATAGACAAACCCTGTCTCGAAAAACAAACAAAAAACCTCTTCTACATTCTTATCAAATATTCCTTGTGAAAGCTATGTTTCCATATAGGTTTAAGCAAACCATTAGGTTGGTATCTTTTTAAATTACATTGTGGGAGTGGGTATGTACAAATGAGTGCAGGTGTCCATAGAGACCAAAAGCACTGCATCATTCCCTGAAGATAGAGGTGTTGGTTCGGGAGGCAGAGGCAGGCGTATCTCTGAGAGTTTGAAACCAGCCTGGTCTACAAGAGCTAGTTCCAGGACAGACTCCAAAAAGCCACAGAGAAACCCTGTATAGAAAAACAAACAAACAAACAAAAAAAAACAAAACAAGAAAGAAAGGAAGGAAGGAAGGAAGGAAGGAAGGAAGGAAGGAAGGAAGGAAGGAAGGAAGGGAAAAGAAAAAAAGAAACAGAATTATTTCAACTTGCAATAACAAAATCTAAGAATCGTATTACCTCTTCTTTAATTTCTTCTTTTTCTTGGACTAATGGTTTTGGCTCAGGTTTAACTGGTTCCAATGGTGGAAGATAGTTTTTAGTATAAAGACTTTCAAATAGTTTGTCCACAAAACCTGAAGTCTCTAAAGAGAGGGAAAAAAAAAACATTTAAATGTTATACAAACAAAAATGGAAAGGGTAAACACTGTTGCCAATGCTTTAGAAAAACAAGGGATCTTAACACTGTTGTCAGGTGTTTAAAACCAAGACTTACCTTAAAGGAAGAGATCTCACTTCTGTAAGTTTTGTTTCTTTTGAAATACTTTAAACATAACTGCATGTGTGTAGATGATATAAATGTAAGATTTTGTTGCTTAAGAACAAAAGATTAGAAACAAAGTTCCTACAAGCAAGAGACTAACAAAATTATCAAAAAGAGATTACAAAGTTTCTCTTGACTTACTAAGACTAACAGATCTAAAAGATATAAACTAATACTTAATGTGTTCATCTGCTCAAAGAAACTGAAAGGACAAACTGTGTACTATAGGTGGGAAAGAAGCCTATGTAGAACAGGAGAAAATAATCTCATAGTATAATCACACGTGTTGGTAGCATGCACTACCCACTCAAAGGCTGAATTAGGTATGTCTGAATGGGTTGAAATCAGTACCTGTGTTTGATTCAACTGTGTGTTCTGGCCTATTTGAAGCTTCCTCAGACAATGAGAGAAATGAGTAGTTTTGTTGAAAACACAAATACCAAATATTTCTAGTTTTACTATAATGAAATTTAAGCAACTCTCATTGGTCTTGCCCTAAGGAACATCTAAGGCTCGGTGGCAAAGGACTTGTCCTGATGGTTCAATTCCTAACATAAGAGAGGGTTGGGTATTTCGAAGGCATCACATGGGCTCTGCTAATACTGTAATTAAGACACATCTTACATTTCTAAAATGCAAACTATTTGTACCTCAGAAAAGCATCCTCAGACAACTCCTTACACCACTAACTTTATAAGCAAACTTCTTTTTCAAAATGGTAAAACTGTTAGCTGAAGTGGAACACCTATAATACTGTAATCAGGAGGCTGGGTGGGAGGGTCAGACCAGACTACTTAGTGAGTTCCAGGGCAGCCTGTACTAGAGTGATACCCCCACCAAAGGATGGATGGATGGGTAGATGGATAAATAAATGACACAACGGGGGGGGGGGGCGCTAGAAAAATGGCTCAGAAATTAAGGAAGCTTTCTTGCTGTTCTTACAAAGGTTTCAGAAACCACATGGCAGCTCACTATCATCCACAACTGGCTTACAACCTTGAGTTCCAAGGTATCTGGCCCCCTCTAGTGGCCTCCACAGACACCAGGCATACACACAGTACAGCAAAACACTCATACACATAAAATTAAAAATTTTAAATTAAAAATAAATTTGGAGATGTATCTCAGTGTTTGCCCAGCATGTGGAAAATCCTGAGTTTAATCAACAGTATGGCAGGCTTAGTGGTTTAGGCCTGTAATCACAATACTTCAAATACAGAGGCAAGAAGACCAAAAGTTCACAGAAGTCTAAGGTCATCCTGCAATACAAAACAAGTTCAAAGATATCCTGTGCTATATGAGTCCCTATCAACAAAGAAACAAACTCATAAGTATAGATAAAATTAGCTGAACGGTGGTAGCACATTCCTTTGATCCCAGAGCTTGGGAGACAGAGGCAGGGGGAATCTCTGTCAGTTGGAGTCCAGCTTGGTCTACAGAGCTAGTTCCAGGACAGGCTCCAAAGCTACTCAAGGAAACCCTGTCTCAAAAAACTAAAAGGGAAAAAAAAAAAAAAATTGATAAAACTGTTAACTCTTGTTGACTGCTACATATAACTTTAAGGTAAAAAATTAGACTCTTCAAAACCTTCTATAAACAACTTACTTCATACTCTTCCTATTTTCACATTATTTACTTTTGTAAATATTGAAAGAGTTCAATAAAGAGATAAAAAAGAGAGAGAGAAAGGAAAAAGAAGGGCAAAAATAGGGCTAGTGAGATGGTTCAATAAGTAAAGGCCCTTACCACACACAAAGCCTGCTGACCTGACTAATCTCCATGACCCACACTGTGGGAGAGAACCCACTCCTGAAAATTGTCTCTGACCTCCAAATGCATGCTGTGACACCCATACACACACAAAATAAATGAGTGAGTGAGTGAGTAAATGGATAAAGAAATAAATAAGTGTAGTTTTTCGGGATCTATATACCAAATACTGTTGGTTCCAGTTTCTACTTTCAAGAAAAGAAAAAGCAAACAAGGAAAAGGTAGATAAACTGAGCAGAGTGTTACAATTTCCATGAAAAAGAAAAGAAAAGAAAAAACAAACAAACAAACAAGGCATTCAGGCATGGTGGTGCCTTTAATCTCAGTACTCAGGAGATACAAGGAAAGCAGTTGTCATGAGTTCAAACCCAACCAAGGACACATAGTGAGACCCCTTCCTTTAAAAAAAAAAAAAAAAGAATAAAGCAGAGCTGAGAGGAGGAAATGATAACTAGGATTGTAGCATGCATGGGATGTCCGTATTATACAAACTACACTGGCGAAAACTGTGCATGATGACATTTGAAGAGATCAAAATGACATGAGAAAGAATCTTCCAGGCAAACATAAAACATGTCCATGTGCTCTGAGTAAAACCCACTCACTGACATTCAAAGACAGAGAGGTGAGCTGCTAGTGTGACTTAGAGGAGGACTGGGTGGTGCTGGCATGGCGCAGGAAATATCAAGAAAACAGCAAGAAAAACTTCCTGCAAGCTCTGTATGGCTGGAGGATGTTGGTAAAGATAGGAAATCTGTCTCATGGACAGTCTCATGGAGGCAGGTTATGTAGCAAAGGACAACAGATTGTCTACTCCTCCCGTCTCCAACTCCCAAGTGATAAGTCACAGGCAAGCATCTTACATCCAGCTGAAGATGAGAAGTCAGAGGTACAAGAGAACAGAATCAGATCCATCTCTTCTTGATATCAAGATGTCCCAGCCAAGAGAGAAAAAGAACAGTGGGTTCTCTTTATTAACAGCAGGAGTATGTATGCAGCTTGGGGGCTGAGGAGATAGCTCAAGTGAAATGCTTGCTATATAAGAACCTGAATTTGAACCCAGATCTATGTCATGTGGCACTTGTTTGTAGTCACAGCACTGGAGAAGGAAGATGTCTGGTGCTTGCTGGCCAGCCAGTCTAGCCTACTTTGCAACTTCCAGACCAGACTGGAAATTCAGTGCAGAATTTGACGTTGGCCTCAAACTTATAATTCTCCTGCCTCAGCCTCCCAAGTGCTGGGAATACAGGCACGTGTCACCACTCCTGAGTCTTTTCAGAAGTTTTAAATTAAAAATATTTACCTAAAATACTTGAAGGCCCACAACAATTACCTTTTTGTAAAAAGACATCAAGCTGATCAGCACAAAAGGCTTTCAATTCCTTCTCTGGTTTGTCCTTCTTGACCAGTGCTACAACATAGTTGGCTAGGGCTGAAGGGTCAGCATCACATCTAGTGAGACAAAGAGAAAATTGAAATTGTCAAACATTGTAAACAGCGACATTATTAATGAAATTGCCCCAATTTTAGAAAATCAAAGATTTAAAGTGACTTCAAACACAGGCAGCTATTGTAACAAGTAGCAATATGTATGTATGTATGTATGTATGTATGTATGTGTATATACACACACACACACATACACACATATATATATATATAGTCCAAGTGAAATTTTCCTTTTCTGTTTGTATGTTTTAATAATTAGTTTGCCTCTTATTTCCAAGGTTCTAGTAACACCAAGAACATTGAATCAGCACATTAATTTGCATCCTCAAAAGCAACTGGGAAAGGGTAACCCCTAAATTGATGGCAACAATTAACACCCCCAGGAACTGTGTGTTTCATGTGACCAGTGAGAAAAAAACAAGGAAGTTATGGACAGATTATTCCTCTTCTCAGAATACATTTCCCTAGAGCCCCAGGAACCAATATTCAAAGTCGGCTACTCAAACTGCCACTAACCTCACCCTGTTCTTTAGTTATAACTGGTAGCTCACTACACGGCTATAAGTGAAAGAAGGCTCCATGAGCTAGAAACAAGTACACAAGTGCTCAAAAGGTGGCAGAAAGAAAGAACCTTTATTTGCTTGGACTCTGGCTTGCTGACTCCTAACCAATCTGTCAGACATGTCTGATCTATGTCGTATCAAACTAAAAGTTTACATGTTGTAATATGTGTGTGTGTGTATATGTAAATATATATATATGTAAACTTCTTAATACATGCATATTTAAGCTACACATATCCCGTGTGGCCTGAAACTGTTATTTGGGCTCTTTGTTTTATTTCTCAGACTGGGTCTCACTTGTCTGGAATTTCATGTGTGCCTCAAATTCTCCTGCCTCTGCCTGCTGGAACTAGAGGTGTGTGCTACCACGCCTATCTCTTATTAAGGTAAAATGAACATTCAGGATGATAGTAAATTAAATCATTGTGTAAGCAAAGTGATGAAATCCTTATAAAAAGCTATTCAATATAATCTTGTTCAAATAATTCTTAGGCCTGTCAATCACATTATCCAACAAAAGAAAAACTAGTACCTCTACTTCCAAAGTATTGTTTCAAATCTATAATTCCAGGATTGGGGAGACCAGGGCAGGAAGATCACATTGAGTTCAGGGGCACACTAGACCAAGGAAACTATCTTAAAACAAACAAGGCACTAAACAAAAGCCTACACATTAGTAAAAGAGCAAAACTTTTCTTCACTGCCAATACTGTCTTAAGGAAAGATGATTCTTTAAAGCCTACACATCTAGGGACTGGTAAAGAGCTTGTAGCACAAGTGGAAGGACCTGACTTCAGATGCCTAGCACACACATAAGAATTTGGATGTGGTGGTGTGTCTGTAATCCTAGCACTGGTGGGGAACTGATAGTTAGATCCCTAGAGCTTGATGGTTAACCAACAGAGCAATGAGCAAGTTTCATTAAGATCTAAGGTAGACAGGGACAGAAGAACACCTGATGTTGACCTCTGGCTTCTACATACACAAACTCAGACAGAAAGAAAGAGACCATGCACCTAATACTAGAGAAAGACAGAGGCAAACTATGTACCTAATTCTAAAAAAGAAAAAAAATATTCATCGTCATTCTTAAAAAACACAGAGCTAATTTACAAAATCAGAATCAAAGGTCAAAGTGTGTTAAGAATGAATATATATTATTATTTACATATTACAATAATGCACAATTTAAAAAGAAAGTCAGCCAGACATGGTAGCCCACACCTCAAAAATTCACAATATAACACAGTACCATGGTACTGATACTTAAGCTAGTAGTAGCCCAATAGTATTTCCAGGACTGTATCACAGAACCAGCCTAAGGCCCTTGATATACAAAACCATTCTGGTCCTACCAAAGCAATTCTCTTCCTGACCCAAGGATAATATGCAAAAACAGTACACAAAGATTCTGCTGGAATACTAATATAGCACAGTTTAGAAAGAAATTTAAAAATTTTAGCATCAACAGCTACACTAACATGTATATTTCCCAGCAAAAATGGGTTCCTGTTAAAAAGGTTATAAAAGTTGCTAACATATCTTAGATTACTACATTGGACTGGGAATGATAGCTCACACTCCAGCTCTCTGTAGCTGGAGGCAAGATCAGGAGTACAAGATCTGAGTTCAAGTTCAGTTCAGCTATAAGAAACATTGTTCAAAAAAACAAACCAGCAGAATTCCAGAGGCAGAAAGGCAAAAAGGTGCAGAAGCAGAGAAGGGGAGAAGCAGCGGAAAAGGGGACAGACAGAGGAGATGGAAAGGCAGAGGAGAGGGGAATAGGCAGAGAAAAATAGTAAGAGGAGGGAGGCAGGAGAGGGAGAGATGAGAAGGTAGAGGAGGGGCGGAAGGGGATAAGAGGGGCTGAGACACAGAAGCAGGTGGATCTCTGAGTTAGAGGTCAGCCTGGCCTACATGAGTTCCAGGCCAGCCAGGATTACATGGTAAGACTTTGTCTAAAACAACAAAACAACAACAATAATAATAATTTAAAACTTAACATTAAAATTACAAATCTGCACGGCAACTAAGTGTTCCATTCAAGATAAGGGCTAGTGAGATGGCTCAGTGGGTAACGGCCTTTGCTGCCAAGTCTGATGAGCTGAGTTCAATGCACATACAAACACACATATGAATACACATGCACAAGCACATATACACAAATAAAGCTAATTTTTAAAAAAGATTAGGCAGAGAGCCCTCCTTTGGAAATAAAACTAGGCTGTAACTCCATGCAAGTAAAATGTTATTTCATATCACATACACTTTTCTAATATATATATATATATATCTGCAAGGCAAATTACGATGTTATAGCCTCAACCAGTAGTTACCTTTAACTGAAATAACATTCAACAAAAAATTTTCAAAAACAATGTTATCAATATGAGAGCTTATTAAAACTCACATTCTGTATAATGTTAGATGTTTTAATGATCTTTAAGTCATCTTAAAAAACAAGATTAGTTACACAGCAGACCTGTTGGTACAAACTTGAAGCTACTTGAGAGGCTGAGGCAGAGGGACTTTAATTTCAAGGCCTTCCTGGAATACAGAGTAAACTAACAGCCTAGGCAATTTAGTTAAACCCTCAAAATAAAACTAAAAACCTGGGGATGTAGCTAGTGGTGGAGTGCCTGCCTAGCATGTGAGATGACTTAAGTTCAATCCCCAGTACCATAAAAGGAAAGGGAGAAAGAAAAAAAATCAGAATTATTATTAGAAAAAGCTAAGAGAAATACTGACCTACACCTATGAAGCCCTCAAATTTGAATTTTTTTTTTCTCTTTTGATGAATTCTTCATTAGCAGACATTACTATCTGTACAGCTAAAACACCAGTGTCAGATTTCAAACATATACCAATCCACAGATGGAAAAGTAAAAGTCCTATCTTTGATACTACTAAAAAGCCATTGCAATCTTTGGCTTCAGGAAGAAGACCTCCTTCCACTTCAAGCCAAATCTACTTTTTTCTTAACATGAGCCTGATTTTAACTTCTTAGTGTGATCTCTTTTCAGAGATAGGTCACTAATAAGTGTGCTAAGGAACCATAGGGAAAAGGTCTCCTACTCCTAATGTGTATTAACAGCCACAAATATTCTATTTACTAAAAATTAGACAGAAGAAACAAAGGTAAATACTGAAAAATACTTGAGACTTAAAAAATCTGTATTACAGAAAAACAGCATTACTTTTGTTTTTCAAGATGGTTTCTCTGTATAACAACCCTGACTATCCTGGAAATCACTTTGTAAACTAGCCTGTCCTCTAACTCACTGAGATTCAACTGCTTTTGCCTCTCAAGTGCTGGGATTAATGGTATGAGCCACTACCATCTGGCGACCGCATTACTTCTAACCAAATAATAATAGTCAGGAAAACCACTCTTATAGTCAGAGATAAGGAAATATTATGTATGTACAGTGATGGCTATAAAAGTAATGCACAAATATGAAAATGCTTTTCTGATGTAATGTCAACTAGAAATCAAGCTAGAAAATTTCACAGTGAGTGCTTACAGCTAAAGTTTCTACATAAAGAAAATGAAAATAAACACTGATAATTTTATTTTCTATAGTGCACTAATAAAGGCACTTTATTAATACCCTCACATTGGGGAGTTCAACACATGAATTTTGGGTGACATTAACATTAAGACTATATAGCACTCTCATCTTACCCCCCCCCTTTTTTTTTAGATAGGATTTCAGAAAATAGCCATTGGTAGCATGTAGAACATGCTGGCCTTAAACTCCCAAGTGCCAGGATTAAAGGAGTGCACAACACTTAGCTCATTTCATCTCCCTTCCTTCCCTCCCTCCCTCCATCTGTCCGTCCCTAAGTCTGTCTGTCCCTAAATCCCTCCCTCTAATGTATACAGTGTTGTCTTCATGTATGCTTGCACACCAGAAGAGGGCACCAGATCTCATTACAGATGGTTGTGAGCCACCCATGTGGGTACTGGGAATTAAACTCTGCACCTCTGGAAGAGCAGTCAGTGCTCTTAACCTCTGAGCAGCTATCTTCTCTCTCCAGCCCTCATCTTACTCTTTATTGGTTGTTTTGTTTTTGAGACAGGTTTCACTATATAACCCTAACTGTTGTGGAATTCACAAGAGATCCCCCCACCTGTGCCTACCTTCATCTTACTCTTTTTTCCCTTCTCACTCTTAATTAGGGGTTTTCATGAAAGTATACATGGAAGAGAAGCCTCCAGGTTTGTTTTTGGTTTTGCTTTTGATAATATGAATGACAAACACATTCATTTGTCAGTTTCAAATGCCATTTTGGTATCTGAACCATGAATCCTAGAACAGCTAAGATCCCTGTTAAATATATGCACAAAGTTAAATTAGCAAAAAACAAATCTTTTTTTTTATGCGGGGACTCAAACCCAAGGCCCTCCAAATTACTCTATCACTAAGCTGCACTCCC